AATGTCATTTTGCAAAAGTTGTAACGATTCCACAACTCAACCGACAGTAACTTTGAGTAGACTGGACTTAATAGTGATGGCGGCTCTTTTTTAGGGAACCAGCCTTTAGAGCTCATCGGCTGGCAAGGAGCGTTCAGTTCAGATTTCAAGCTTCTTCTCACATTTCCTTATTATGTTTTCATTTAAATCATGCATTCCTTATTTTCAACTTGGGAAAAATGTGCCAAGGACACTGGGAATAAAGCATATGTTTGATTCACACAGGAGCAAGTAGATGACAGTTTTCCGCCTGTAGAAGGGTGTGATTTTAAGTGATTTGAATTGTTCCCAGGAGCATCCTCACTCATAGTTTAGTCCGGCCACACAAAAGAACTAAAATCAGCAAATGAGGTTACACCAATCTGTGTGTCTCCACCTGTTTCAAATACTACTTTTTTGTTTGGACTTAACTTAAATATTTTAAGTGATCATGTTGGTTCTTCTGCAGCAGATCTCTTACTATTTCCATTGGAGCCTCTGGACACTTCACCATCATCTGCACCTTGTGAATGCATCTTTGCATAAATGTTAACTTACTTATGAGATAAATAGGAGACATTATTATCAAGTTAACCGGGAGCCACATTACCCTGCTCTTGTTGAACACAGAGAACAAGGAGGCTCTGCCTTTATTGCTCTTATAAACACGTAGCCTTCCGCTTTACAAAGTAGTGCCAAACAAAATACAACAGTGTCAAGCATTGTACTCAACAGATCTGATTTTTTTTAAATCTAGCAATTCACTGCCCTTATTAAAAAGGAGTATAAACAAGTTGATGAGAACTGTCTTCTCACTTAGTTTTTTTTAATAAAATTTTTTATTAAGATTGTTCCATATCACAGTATAATCTATAGAATTTAGTTTGTGCATTTCATCATGTAAATTCAACCTGAATGCAGATTGAAATTTAAAGATCTGCTAAGAAAGTCTGAGGTTTCTCATCCACATACCTCAAAAACTAAAATGTTTTGCACTCCAAAAGTTATTTTGCACAAAATGATATGAACCTATTTATGTTATTTGCATGAATTTTGTCACCCTCCTATAATTCTTATTTTTTCTGTTTGTCAGGTTATCAATGAGTCAGGATATGGCAGGAAGTCAGATATTTGGAGTGTTGGTTGCACAGTGTTTGAAATGGCCACAGGTAAACCACCACTCGCACACATGGATAAAATGGCTGCCTTGTTCTACATCGGGGCCAGAAGAGGCTTAATGCCATCACTGCCAGACAGCTTCTCAGAGAATGCAAAGGACTTTGTTCAAATCTGCCTGACAAGGTATGTTGTCACTTTATATGGAGGATTTCCTTTCTGTATTTCCTTTCTGTATTTGGCAAACTGTCAAAATAAGGATCCTCCTATCATATTTTCTTTTTTAATCTAGAGACCAGAGCCTACGGCCATCAGCTGCCCAGCTGCTGAGGCATTCCTTCATTCCTAAAAGGCAGACTAATATAAAATACTGTGAGACACAAAAAAACAACTGTTCTCATGGTCATCGTGTTCCGCCTTATCAGGATCCGTGTCATGGGTGTGTTTTCAGCAGAGATGTCCCAAATCCTAACTCCAAGGAACCCTCCTCCAGCAGAACTCCATTGGATTCTAAGACAATCCAAGAGGCATAATGCCTGCTCCGGATCCCAGGGCTTCTCCCAGTGGGACGTGCTTTCAGCCCCTCATAAGGGAGGTGTCAAAAAGAAAACAATGACCAGCTGACCCCTCTTGATGTGGAGAAGAAGCAGCTCTACTCCAAGCCCCTCGCAGATGGAGATGCTTATCCCCTGATCTCCTCACATTTCCAGGATGCCTTGCAGAGAAAACTGATTTGAGCTGCTTGTATCCAAAGTTGCTGTGGTCCAAATTTTAGTATTTAATGTAGAATAACTGGTGTTCTTAAATCTAGACATTATATTATTGTTCTAATTCTGGTTAAAAAATGTAGCTTTGCATTTAAGGTGAAAGCTCCACAACTGCACTGACCTCAAACCAACAAAAACAAGGATATTTTGGTAACCGTGTTAATACTGTAAACAAAATTATTCAAATCCTTGTGGAAAACATTGTAAAATGTATAATGTACAATTTATAACAACCATAAGCTTTACTTTTGTTAACAAATATTAGGTGCCAACTTTATAAATATAAAAGGTGTAGTTTACTCAATTCTGTAAGTTGTTTGCTCTGTTTGTGATATATGTTAAAGCAGATAACCAATCAATGCTGCAAAATGTTTCAACATAATAGACAGAATTTTCATATATAGACATTACAAATCATTGCTATTCAAGGGTCACATAAATTGTTTTGACATAAAGGTACATACCACATGGAATATTGTCTCAACTTAAGTCTTTTTTGCCAAAATTAATAAGTAAACTACTATTAATCAATTATAAAAATGCAATAACCTTCAACGGATGAGTTTTATGTGAGTGTTAATTACAATGGCAGCTATTAACTGGTCTCTTATCCAAACAGTTCCCCTTCAATTCGGTCGTTTAGGACTAAAACCTGTAAAAGCAGCAGTCTTTCCCTCTAAAGGCATGGAGTATTAAATATCTCAATACTAAAGCATTTGGTTTCTATCTTTTTTTAGATAGAGATTAAACTATAGAAAATGAAATTAGATCATCTGCAAGCCTGTTAAACTGAATTGATACAGAATACCGTAATTTTATCAATAGTCCTTATATCGAATAAATGTACTGTGCATATTTTAAACTTGTCAAATCAATTAAGAGCAACTGGTACTAAACTTTTTATGGTCATTTTAATATAAACTTTACTTTTGATAAGCTTTTTATGTGGTCTCCTTAATGGTAAATTGATATGAGAGCATTTGGCCCTAGTTACTGTATTGTTTTTTCTCAACGTACATTTCAGATCAATAAAAATAGAACAAATATAACCTAAGTTATTCTTACAGCAGAGGTCATTATAACTTGCCTCTCCATCTCAGTCAGGAAATCTTAAATATAATCTGGATGGATGCCTGATCAGTAAAACAATCTTATATTTTAAATAAAATAAGAAAATAAAACTGATAGGATTAAAAAGCCATTATTCACAATATGTCAGGAATTAGGCGCAAGTTTTTCGCCAGATGTGTTCCACCACAAAAAATTAACACTAACAAAAATGGTGATGTTCTGCAGGCAGCTTAGCTGCCTCATGACCTGCATGAAATGCAACTGATAGAGCGATTAAATCTGCCTTTTATTAAACAATGAAGGAGAATGTCCTACAATCATCACAAGGGAAGTTTGAGCATCTGGAAGATGTTCATCCACACGATTATATTAGACATTTATGTCTAGAATCGTAATATTTCTACAGGCAGTGATGAAAGATGCATTTCAAGCTCTTGGTTAGTGTGTGGCCCATCTCAAGAGCAGTCAAACAGTTATTAGGGGTTTCCAAACCAAAAACTCCCATTTTGGGTTCACTCAAGAGTTTGCATCGTTTTCTTTATGCTAAATATTTAACAAAAAATAATTCTGAAATTCTTGCACCTTGATAAATGAGGTAAAGACATTTCTAATATTTGCCACTTTTTCTGTTAAACAGGTTTATTCTACATCCGTTTATTTTAAGTGCAATACCTTTAATTTTTGAAAAAGTACTTGGCAATAAAGCCTTTTCTGATTTTACACCATGTACCGTTCCAACTTTACTTCATGCAACAGGCATAAACTTAATAAGATGCTGCACAGTGTCATGGTGGTGGCAATGAAGTTTATTCATTACATTAAAATATAGATGAGTGGCCCTTTCTTTCCCAAAACATTTGGAATAGTCCATGGTAAATCCTTCCATTATATAAACCCCTTATCTTGGTTTCATTCGGTGTTTATGGTGTTCTACAATACATAGGGGATAAAAAAAACAGGTACAGGCTTCATAGAGAAATGTATTGTTTTATGGTAAAGCTAATTCCATGTGCATAAATGGGAGACAATATTTGCTCTGACCTTAGCTGCAGAAAAACGACACAAAAGAAGTTCAATATTTTAATGAATCTGATATGGAATATGACCTAAAGGTGTGATTAAATGGGCTTGTAACTTTATATAATACTTGATCCTATTGATGTAAACTGTAGTAGTTTATTACTCATATCCCTTTTAGTAAGGCAGAACCTTTGGCATCAAGCTGAAGGTCTGCTTGGAAGTCATGGTTTTTGGTACAAAAAACAAGAGTTCTGTAGATGCTGCAGTGGGAATCAGATGTTCATCACCGTCTAGAGGAAGCTTAAGATTCCTTGAATGATGCAAACAATCAGCCGACTATGCCCTAAAACCCACTGATCAGGGAAATAAACCTTTTATATGTATTATACTCATCTTGTTAAAATTACAAGCAGCTCCAAACCTGAGTAGTCATGGTATAGCTTTTTCTTTAAACATACAAAAGAAACATATTTACACTTTTTTCTTTTTTTGTAAACAGCAACTAAGCACTTTTCTCTCTTTTCCCTTTGATGATTGAAACATGCAAATCAAATGCAGTTTAAGCATATAAAGAAATCAGGACCAGAAAGTAGTTTTGGAGATGAGACTTTACACCTAAAAAAAACTGCATCCATCAAACAATTGAGTGGAATTCTAGCAAACATAAACTTAACTCATCTCCAGCTGGCCATCAATTTCTTCCATATAATCAGGCATTTACTTAAATTACTAAACAAAACAAAAAAAGATGAAAAAGAAAGTGCACCTTCCATGCTTTTATAAAAACTGTAATACTCATCTTTCCATATGGAGGACTTACAAAGTGGAGATGGGAGCATCACTCAACCTTTCCCCAACTCAGACTTCCCCTTTCATTCTTCGATGCATTTGAGAAAGTGATGACCGAGCAGCAATTGGACACTAACAAAGATGGGACTGAACAACGCAGCCCTGACGTGTGAGAAACAGACAAGTCCAACACTTATTAGCAGAAATGTTTTCTGCCTTAGTAAAGGGTTCATATTCACAAGCATTATTTCTTAGGGCACTTGACAAAGAGGTCAGCATATTCTTGAAAGTCTCAGTGGTCGGTAGTTTGATGCCATTTCCATGTGCAGGCCATGGCTGAAGGGCGGCGGACTCAGTGTCTCTGCTCTCCCACTTCGTGTGGCGATTCGCCAGGACGAAGGAACTGCTCAGAGGTCCGCAGCCCACCTGGGTATGACAGGAGGGGAGGAGACAAGAATAAGGAAGAAGAGGAGGAGGAGGAAGGAGGGAGGGGTTAGCCACAGAGCTGCGAGCCAGATGAGACACACTGCAGTACAGGAGAGGAGTGAAGAGGAGGAGGAGGAAAGGGGGATGAAAAAAGAGGAGTACCTGTAGCACTAGTGCCACTCTTGGAGATTTTGCTCACTTTGGAGCTCGAGGATGAGGGGTGGTGGTTGTGGCCGACCTCAGGATAGACCCTCTTTCGCGATGAAGATGACAAAGAGGCAGATGCGGGATGGCCGAGTGGCATTCCTTCCATAGCGACCAGCCCTGGAGGAACACGCATCAAGGCTGCACCCTCTAAACCCCCTCGCCCGTTGCCACTGTGCTTGTGGGAGCGATGGAGGTGGTGTTCTGTGCCGCGGTGCTTTTCTTTGCTCACCAGGGGGCTGGAATGTTTGCTCTTGCTGTTGTTGGCAGAAATGCCTTCATCTGACGAGCTGTGCCGCTCTGATGATGAGACTTTGATCTTCATCTTAAACTCGTCCTTGCTCTGATGTCCGCTTTTCTCTGGCTGAGAGCTGCCGCTGGACCCGGGGACGGGCAGGCGAACCTTAAGTGTGCCTTTGTCCCATTTGTCTCCATGATGGCGTCGGTCTTGTCCTGAAGCTGAGGCAGGAGGGATTTTCATTTTCGATTGGGAGGCTGTAGTGCTGCTGTGAGAGGCTTGGTGGGCCTGAGCATGTTTCCTATGCTCTATCTGGGAAATGTTGGCTGGTGCATAGCTAGAAGAGGCCTGATCTCCTTTTACATCACAGTCCATTACTCCTCCATGGTGTTCCTGTCTACGTTTCTGGACAGTGTACTCCACAGAATGTTTCTCTCTGTATTTATCTAGAGAAAGCTTCTGAACAGGAGGAGGCTGAGTGGAAATGGGGTAAGACTGAGGTGCTGGGTGTTGTTTGCCTGCTCCACTGCCACTACTTACTTTCTCTTGTTTAACAAGGTTTAAATCTATTTTTTCAGTCTTGTAAGGCAGTGGTTGCTGGAGCAGAGAGGAGGAGGAAGAAGTCTGCAATGACAGCATGGATTCATGGATAGGGAGGCTGAGCGGTTCCTGTTTGACACAAGTGGAGGGGTACCCTATATGGCTCTGGTTAACCTGAGGCCATTCACCATGGCTAGCTGGATTAAACGTTGCAGCCATGTTGTCCAGAGATAAGGGGATTCCTCTGGAATGTCCGGTCATGGGTACAGAAAAGGCAGCACATGCTTTGGAAAAACTTGGGTTGGAAGAGGAAACTCCATGAAGCGCTGCGTCACTGTGGTCATGAAGCAACGATGGTCCAGCATATGTGGTATCTCCTGACGCCGTGTTTTCAGTTTTAGGCTTTTTGGCAGCTTGTGTTGCCTAAAAGAAAATCATTTGCACAGCTGTAAAGGTACTGCTTTCAGATAGACGGCTAACATGACATTACTATTAGCAAATCTAGTTTTTGCACATTGTGTTTATTTCATGATGATTTAATCATTTAGTCCAAAGCAAAGTGAAGCAAAACCAAAAGGAAGAAAATTTTGAAAATACACTTTTCAAAATTATTACAATATAAAGAAAAAAATAATAGCTTGAATTTATATACAGATGTACTTTGTGTTAATTTATTCCAATTATAAATATCAATGATATAAACTGCAGTTGTTATCTTAAAACTCTAGTACTAAAATGAGCTTACCCTCCAGTTTCGGATTCTCTTTAGCCTGCTTGGAGTTTTCTCCAGAATCTGCAGAAACTCATGGGTCAGCTCTGCAAGTAAATAAACACCATAAAACATTTGACCTAAATTTGCCTAATTAAAGACAATGAATCTTAGATGTAGGTAAAATAATGACTTCACCATCAAGCAGCTCCAGAGTCACCGTGTTGTCAACATACTGCCACCAATGTTTCCCGTCAGTGGAAACCGGGATCTCCCAGTTGGACCACTTGCAAGCCAGATGTATGCACACACAGGCGATCACTGTGGGCTTGTACTGGAGGCAGAAGGTGGTGAGGTGCAAACTGAAGAATGGTCGAAGGAGGTCAGAATCCATCCAACATGTGGAGAAAAAAAGAAGAACACCAAAAGGAGCAGACAAATTTAATATACTGCTGGTTAGGAGGTCATGTTTGCAAAAAGTTACTGACAAATCTGTGATTTGATGTGATAAATTTGTTTTAAAATGTAACTACAAGAACTTCTAACCAAGTACAACATTCAAAAAACAACAATGTACTTGTTTAGGCTTCTATCCACATGTAGAAAAACAAAACAAAGAACTGAATCCAAGTATGCTATAAATAACCTAACCATGAATAAATAGCGTTCATAATAGTTATTTCATTCATATATTGACATTAAAAATTACAGCTTATTAGAGACAGTTAATAGCCAAGTCACAACAAACGGAACATGTTGAGCCAAAGCAGAAACAACCTGAAAAAATGAAGAGTATAATAGTGTTTTCTCAAATTTGCAAAACTGCCATATTTGCCGTCAGATTTCATTGCAGCCACAGACGTCCTTTGTTGAATAGGTCAGAGGGGTCAGAAATGTGACCATTTAAGCCCTTAGAGGCATTTTGTCCACCATCACACGCTGTTGATGTAGATTTTTACCAATAAATTAAAATGAGTAATGCTAGGAAAAACATAAGCTAGTCACACTTAAACAAGTGTTTTGCTCCCAATTCAAAGACAGAGTCCTCAAACAAAGAGCGCATCTTTAAAGAAACAACCCATATTCTGTTCTTTTTGCTGAGAAACTTTGTTTATTGCACATAGAAAACAATCAATCCCCCCCAAAAGATCGCTTCTCCTATGCAACAGTGTAAACCTAAAAAACCTCTTTTTGATGTTACGGCATTACAAAAATAAACATTTGGTTCGTTTGCAAAACAAAATATTTGTTTATTGCTAACTTTTTGTCATCCGCCACTCCTTCGCTCTTTGGTCTGTGTGCGAGAAAATGTTAGCCCCACTGCAGTGGGGAGCACAATGCTGCATGTCACAACCTACTATGACCTTTAATTTAATTAATCGAAAATTTTATAACCCTAATCAAATCCAGATCTAGAAAAACTCTGATTGAACAGGGCAAAAATAATAGAAATCTATTTACACCACTTTCTTAAGTTTATATTCTCAGCAGGAAGAACAGGATGTGGGTCTCTCTTTGAAAACCCTTTCAAAGTTTTGTAAAGTACAATAAAGGGCTACAACAAAGTCTGCCTTTGAGTTTGGGTAACAGCATGATTTCCATTTCCCATTAAAGTAAAATGAAATCAAAGAAAGGGAGTTAAAACACAATCATTAGATGTGTTTTACGACGTTTTCTTATCTTAGATTATAACAATCTTTTCCTTAAGAAAAAAGTAAGGAGTAAGTTTAATTAGACCAACCACCTGTGCCGAATGGGCCAACGTGGTACTATTTTTGAGTTGTGGTAGTAAAACTGTAAAAATATCTGTGGTGCACAGGACTCTCCTCTAAACCCTCTGGCTTCAATTTGGCAGAAACAAGATAAATAAATTAACCTGTTTTTTTTTTTTTTTTTTTAAGAAAATCACCTATGTATCCAGTCTCCTGTAGACAGACTTTAGGTACTTGTCATACCCACAGAAAAAAGAAAAGAAAAGAAATCCTCTGTACACAGGAAAAACGATATAGAAATAAGTAAAAAAAAAAAAATAATTAATTAAGTGTATTTCCCCTTAATTTGAGTAAGTGAATGAGATAGTTTGCCAATGGAATGAGTATTTTTTACTCTTAAAATAAGATAATTAGATAATATGAACTTGAAATAAGACAATGCAGTTGTGTTTTCTTATTTTAAGTTTAATTTGTCTTGTTCCATTGGAAAAATGTCTCTTTTACCACCTTAATTAAAGAACAAATGCACTTAAAGAAAAAATGACTTATATAGATTTCTACTTTTTCCAGTGATTCTACTCCATCAGTTTTGGAAAAATAATTGAAGTTGGTGAATCAAATACAGAAGTTCAGACTCTGTATCACAAAACAAACTGTCAACAAAGCAGACAGCTGTAACAAAGATTACTAACAATATCAGCTCAAACATCAAATTCACAGTCTGATAAGACTTTTTAAACATGCTTTTAGCAAGTAGGCCAAAAATTTACTTATAAAAACAACACAGACAGAAACATTACTGAGGAAAACTCAAACATCGAGCCCTGATTCTATCCTCATTTTCAACTTTATGAACTTTAAAGTAGGGGATAAAGAAGGCAAGTACATTCAAAAATAATTTGATAAAAATCTTGGTCATACAACTAACAGAATGACTTCATGAAAACGCCCACATCCCCGTACCAGTGTGGCTGAAAATCTTGTACATGAGGATTAACACTCAGTTTGGTTTTCCTGTCAATGTCTTTCTAAGGCTTTTGATTTGTACTTTTACATGCTAAAAAGCTTTTACAGAGAAAAAACTCTGTTTCTAATAATGGTAACGTACAAGTGCCTTACTACCCCCTACTTTAATCCAACCCTTTAAGGACCCAGTTATTGTTATTAAACTATAAAATAATGCAAATGCTTTTGGAGTCCTCTTAGCGCATCTTTTTGCTCACTAAACCAAAGAAAACAGCAACTCTTGGTTTTACCTGTAACAGGGGTGCAATTACCATGCTGTACTACTAGTTTATAATGCTATGAGTACTTTAATGATTTATCAAAAAGTGATGCAAAGCTTCTTATATAATCAAGAACTTTAAACACTAAATGTAACCAAGCAAAATTTTTAAAACCGGGTATCACTAAAGAAATTCCTCAAATTTGTCTGCATTACGCTTCACCTGTTTAATCCTCTTATTAGCCAGTATTAAATTTTGGATTTGTTTAAGTCAATAGACTATAACTGCACACCTTAGTATTTCGAAATGAACCCGATAAAGAGCACAAAAAGTGTAAAGGTTTTTTTTTTAAAATAAATTAAATAAAGCTTTTACGAAAATGTTTTTTTAAACAAACGAATACTTCAATGCTGGACTTAAACATATAGGATTAAATTTTTTCTTTTGCTTTAAAAAGATCTTGATTTCTGCATCTTGAAGTGAGCAAGAAAAGGTTTGGGAGTTGTAATCTGACAAAGCAGTAAAGGAGAAGAGCTGGGATGCTTTTTTTTTTAAGTTGGGGAATATCTGTATAAATACGCATGCTTCAAATGTGTACAAATTTACTGTGTAGATTTCAACAATTTGTGGATCATTCGAGAAAAATAAGCCTTTAGACAGATTTTATTTGTTATTTTGTTTACACAAGTGTAAAACAAAAACAAATTTAGTTTGGAAACAGCTCATTGGACAATTTTATCTTTTTAAAAGTGCCGCCTTGAAAAATAGTAAAAATGAGTGTAAATTTACAGTTCTAACTTTGCAAATAATAAATAATTGCTCACTATTAACATTTCAATTTGAAAAAAGGATGTCATTATTATTTCATCAAGAAATTCTGCTGTAATTAAAAATGAAAAAAGAAAAAACGTAGTTGTTTTTTTAACTCAACTGGCAGGAAGTGGGTTTTACAAAGACGGAGATTGGATTTTGGACACCAAATATTAGCTTAGTATATCTGTATTTGGATACTTTAGTAAAAGAGTTTTTATTCAACCAATCTGTAGTGATGGTCATATGTTAAACTTGCACTGAAGGCTGCATCTGTTGTAGCTTTTATATAAATTCAGCCAAACTGTGTAAACTATTAATACTTACACAGTCCTAGGCAGTTCAAGTGTAAAAAGGCTGTTTTTTTTTTTTTTAAATACTGATAGCTAAATTATTAGCTTAATCATTAATGTACAAATTGAAATCATACCCATACAAAACATGCAATTCACAATCATGACATAACCTTTGAATTGAGTAAAGGTGCATGTTATCTCTGCTTGACTTGGCACAGCGTGGAGTTTTAAAGTTTAACAGCCCCTGCTAGGGATAAATGCCCCATTTTTGGGTCCTTAATGAGTTAGTATTTTTTGTTTTCTTTGAATTAAAGTATGTAATATTAAACATTGTAAAGCTAGGGAAAAAATGTGTTTAGTGGCACAGTAAAAGCTTTACAGTATATTTGGGAAATAATGCGACAACAAAACAAGAAAAGGAAAACTTAAAAAAGTTATCTGCAGTACTTACCGGAAGAACCTCTACGAGAAATGTTTACATCTGTGAAATCTTTAGCTGATATTCAGGCTACCAGTGTCTTTCGCTTAGAATTATGCACTTTTTCGCAACCGAACAAAACACGTGGTTTTCAAGCGCACCACTATACTTCACATTTTGCATTCAACCCATCTGTGCCAACAAGTGGTCCCTTGTACAATACACCGCACTGCGACTGGGGCCGGTAACGCTACAAGCCACCATGTCCCGCTACCTCTGGGAAAGGGAGGGGAGCTGAGGGGGAGGGAGGCAAGCGTCCCAATAACCACCAGTGCATGTAGGGCCCGTTGGACACTGAAAGGGTACCCTGCATTACAGGAAGCTATGGTGTGCAGTCAAAGTGCAACAAAGGAGGGGCAGGATAACAACCTGTTGGTAGCCATGAAATAGGAAGTCTGTGCCAGATCCTTGCTTGCTGTAGAGGGGAGACAAAAAGGAAACAGACAGATAATAAAAGTAAAAAAAAATCTTTGCAGACAAAACAGATTAAACTTTGTTTACTATTATTGCAATTTCCAGTGCACATATTGAGCCAAGATCCAGACTGTAAATGTTTATAATAAATCTGGCCAAAGTCATTAAGTATAGAAAATCTAACAATTTCTTTTTAAGCCAAAGCAATGCATCATCTTAGCTAAGTCTATACCCCTGCTGTGAACATACGCGGACTGTATCATTGTAATTGAAATAAAGGGCAATTGGATTATAATTTTGTGATCTAAAATGGGTTTGAAAATACCAATCAGACTACCTGTGGTCAGACTGAGAAGGGTGACTTATGTGGATTAAGAATTCGACCAGCAATGCATGTAAATGTCTGACTGGATCAAGTTTTTCTGAATGAGAAATCCCACATCAACATGATATATTTACACCTAAACGGGCTATTTTTTTTGGTCCAATTGACAGTTTTACTCCGATTTCTTATGTACACGTAAAAAGCACAATCATGTTTTTTTTTCTTCAACTGAATACATTTCCATCTAATAAAGGATAACTATAAAGTGGGGAAGATTGTGGAAGTAAAAAAACAGGTAAAAACAAAAATAGCTTAAGATTTGATGTTACTAAGACTGAATAATAAATGTAATAAAATTGTGAAAAGAGATTTGATAGTTACTAAATGCTGAGCATAATGGTAAAGAAACATGACATGCTGTGAGGCTTCGTCATTTTTTCCCCCCACACATGTGAGAAATTCAGACATAAATTGTCCACACTTTTATACCAGTTAAGGATAGTTGGTGAAGCTCAAAGTAATCTTAGGATATACTTAGTTTTTGACTAAGCTTCTAGTTTTCTGGTTTAATTAATCTTGGCTAAATAATTACTGTGTAGAATGTCATTTACTTTCATATCACTTAAGCACTGTTTTTAAAAAAAAAGTTATAAATCTCAAACTCCCTTTTTATTCATCCTGATTTAAGATAAAATGAAGAAACTGAACAAACTTCTAGCGTTTTAAAAGCACTTCAGTCTAAGCCTCGGCCCAAACGGCACTGGAAAACTTAGTAAGGTAAACAACAAACTCAGGTGCTTAAAACCAATGTAGTCATTTAACCATTAAATCAGTGGGAATATCACCCTCAACCCCACCCACATCTGAGGTGGGACAAACAAAAACAAAGAAGGAAGCCTCTACCTCGCACTAGCTGGGTACATTTCACCACATCAGTGTGTGGGTGATCAATAGTAATTTCAAAGCCTGGAACAAAATACATAACAGGTGAGATCAACACATACACAGCTGGGAGGTGACATGTCATTTAATGGTAGGGGAAGATATGAAAGTCTGTTTCATAAGCAGCAATCTAAGGTCATCTTAGGTTTTAAAAATCTTTAAATAGTGTGAAATGTTTCCACTAATAAATAGTTGTAAGCGCCTAAACAATTCGCATTGGATGACTAAATGTTTTAGCAGATATAGCTGAAAAACGTCCACATACTCAGGACCATTTAGTGCAATTTCTTTGCAGCCTCAATTATTTTTACTAAAGTTGGCTTCCAGAAAATGACATATCACCTTTACACAATGCTATTAAATATGACTATTGAAAGAGCTACCACAGAGTAGATGATATAACATTTCGTTTCAGTCAAATGTTTGACACACTGAAAAATTCACAATTTAGACCCTTACTTGTTACCTTTACCAAAGTTCATCATTGTTACAGAAAAAGATCTCAAATCATCCACTCCAGTCACCATTACTTACCCAGGGTCTGCAGCACAATGGATTCAAGTATCACCAGCTCTTGAGCTTGCTGGAGGTATGCCTGAAGTTTGATAGACAGTCATTACAACACAATTGTAATGAGTCTATTAATTTATTCCCCTAACAAGTAATTTAAAAACGGCCAAACAGCTCTACGGCTCCATTTAGTCATAAAGTGAGTGGTGTTTGGTACATGCCCACTGCAAGCCAGGGCAAGAAAAATAAGACCCATCAAAAGGGCGGCAGAAAGTGTTGCTTTCTTTTATATAACAGATGAAAGCAAGACCACAGAGAAAGACAGCAGGAGTCAAACAAATTCAACCTTACGGTAACACTAAATACCAACACTTACATTACTTTTCGTGTCTAGAGGAGGTTCCTGTGGATTTAAGCAAGCATGTGCTACTTTGATTACATGCTCAAGCTTCCGGGGTTGCTCTTCAACTTTTGCAGCCAAAAACAAGGTGGTTGGGGATATTATCTGCAGAAAAAACAAAAATGTATTAAAATGAAGCTTACAGTTTCTACTTGACAAAAAAAATAAAAAATCAAATTCCACTATCTTGAAAAAATACTTACATTTCTATGGAATTTGGTGAAAGAATGTTGCATATAAAATCTATGCATGTAAACGATAGCTGTGTTTATTGTCAATTGAGAGCTGGAGATTAAGTCAAGGAAGATTTAATGTTTTTTAATCCATATAAATTAGGAACACAACAAAGAATGCAATAACAAAACAAAAAAAACATTACAACATTATCCCGTAGTTAAAGTGTGGTATATTAATTACCAATATCAATTTAATTAATCCAGTTTTTCAATAGACTTTGCAGTTTACAATCAATGAGATCCTCTCACTGGGGCTTTTTACCCATCTTTACATTATGATGAAGTGTATAACTCAAGCAACAAAATAAAATCCACTTTTGTTTTTTTACATTTAAACAAATTAAATAAACTTTTAACATGAGAACTTCCTCTTTTGCAGGAGAAATGCAATAATGTAATGCAATATGCAGTTGTATATAATAGTGCAGTTGGATGCATTCACGTTCTGTAGTATATCAGCCAGATGGAACATTATTAGTGGTCTTTAAAGCCACTTCTGATGCAGAGTTTAGTCACTAGGAAGCTGAAGCTCAAGGCATTCTCACTATTATGTTCGCAAAGAACATGACAATTGTGGGAAATATGTGCCTAAAGATCCCATAATAATCACAGCTGCATAATTGCAGCCCCAATAGAAAAGGCTGTACAGTCTGTTGAGTAAGGTACCAATTAAGATCTGACTTTGCCATCTGTTAGAAACCTAAAGTTAATCCCATTACTATTTTTTAAAACTTTATGACAAGGAATTTAGATTGCATTTATAATACTTAAGCCAATATATTTTTTATCAAGATAAATTAGGTCAATATATATTTTTTAATATATGCTTTTAGCTAGGGATGCACGATATAATCGGCCCCCTATCGGTATCGGCCTTAAAACTGAATATCGGACATCGGCCACCCCACCGACATTTAACCCGATATTTGATCAGCTTCTGAGTTCTGAAGTCTAAAAAAAAAACAAAAAAAAAAACTACTTCTTCCTCAAAAACGTATTTTTTACAGACATAAAAACTTCTAAAGACGAGGGAAAAAATATTGATACATTAAAATATCCCAATATCTTCATATGCTGATATATTGCCATTTAAAAACACCATATCAATCTCTTTTACTAATGAAATATTGCTATATGTCATCGTTATGCTACGAAATCCCCCGAAAATTCACGAATTTTTGCCATATTTTTATATGTTGATAAATTGACGCGGTATCTATCTATTTTACTAACAAAATCTCACAAGAATTTGCAAAATATCACGAGAGTTTGTAACAGAACGATGAAATTTCACGAGATTTTAAAAAGTAAAATAGATCGATACTGCGTTTTTAAAAATCAATTTGATATCAGCATATGAAAATATATTTGAGTATATTATTTTTCAAAGTGTCAGAAATGGATAACAAAACTGCTATTTTCAATGACTACTTATTTTTGTCCAGCTTTAACATCAGTATCGATATCGGTTATCGGCTACACGACTTTTAAAATATCGGCATGTCGGATATCGGCTAAAATCCCAATATCGTGCATCCCTACTTTTAGCGTAGCTTAATTATAATAAAGCCAAGGGTGTGTGTCTGTGAGTAGCAGAAATTATGTGGCTGTATAGACAGTAAAAGAGAAAACATTTGATAGTGTCAGCTTCGTGCCAGTAGATGTGAAATGGCCAATCTTCAACCTGGTGAAGCCCGAAAACCTGTAGCATGATAAGCAGAGAGTTTTGACTGGAAGGAGACCATCATTTGTTCCAAACAGTCCCTGATAACTTGGCTTCAGATCAGTAAGGAACAAAGCATGAAATGATTTGTTTTCATATTTTCTTTTTGATTGTGAGGGAAAGTGTTTGCAAGTAAAATATAACCTGTCAGACCAGTCTGAGGTTAGGATGGGATTAACCATAGACAACATAAATAAGAACCAACAATTACAAGGGATAAAGCTGACTCAAACATAGCCTTGATGCTATCATATTCTGACATTTATCTTTGCAAAGCAAATATGCAATGCACTGTTTAGAGCGGTGCACAAACTGTCCGTATGACAGTGGCAAATTCTTTAATAGGTGACAAATAATGTAAACCCAGTCTTTCTTTTGAAGTCACTAACAAGGTAGGTAAACTAGACATGATGAGAGTGAACTGATATAACTCCATCAGATCCCCAAAGACAAGATTAAGGCTGCTAAATTAAGCAGCTAATTTCCACTTGTTAGCATATTTAAATATAAATCCCTTTATTGTCCCACAATGGGGAAATCCGTTCACAGCATTTTGACCCATCCCATTGGGGAGCAGTGGGCTGCCATTGTGTGGCACCTGGGGAGCAATCAGGAGTTAAGGGTTTTGCTCAGAAACCCAGAGTGGAGGCCGTGGGGATCGAACCGGGTGCTCTAACCACAAGGCCAACACTCCACTTATATATATTACACCGGAAGAGATACATGAATAGATAATAAATATTTTGATTGCTTTGCCAATCCTTCTGAACAACCTTATTAAAAAATCATGGGTTTTACATTCATTTCTCCAAGGTGGGCATGGGTGAACAGAACGATGACGTTGCTATTGATTTCTATTTATTTGAAGGGCGTAAGGACTTCCTGGGCCATCTTTAAACTTAACGTTGTCTAATTGAATAAGCTGAAGTTGTCAAACATTTAGGGTTAGGACAAGCTTATTAACTAATGTAAATGTCTGATATAGACACTTAACCATGCCAGCATACTGGCTATTTATCTACCAAAATACATAGTATTTTCCATTTCCAAGTTTGAAACTACCATACTCTACAACAGAGAGCACGGATTAGCGGACCATGGTTCGGATCCGTCCAAAACCTGATTCAAAATATTTATAAATTACTGTATGTTGTCCGATGACATTGTCTAATTGTCACTTGTGCCGCTTCTCGTGTGTGTATGATAAAGTCATTCGGAGCGTCCGGGACCAGGCTGCACATGATACAAATAAGCCAATGAGATGTCAGTCAGGGTTGCTGCTGCAAACCACTTTGAGACACAGCAGGCAAACCTGTGGCAAGCTAGGCGACGGGAAAGAAGGAGATGATGAGAAAAAGAAAGCAGAGAAAGTGAGGACTGCTGAAAAACTGCTGTGAACTGCTGAAAGAAAAGTGAAATGGTGTGCTTAAACATGACCCAGCACATTTTGAGTACCGTATTTTCACGACTATAAGGCGCATATAAATGCCTTTTTTTTCCCTCAAAATGTGCGGCGCGCCCTATGTGTTACTTCAGACGTTGTTGAGACCGCCATGAGAACGTTAAAGGGGGAAGTGCGGGCATGGATTGTGTATAAAAGAACAGGTATGTGCTTTATGCAGAACATTGTTGTCATAACAACCCTGAAAATGGCAAAGAGACACGCCTAGGAGTGCAATTTTTCCATCCGGACCAGCACTACAGTAGCTCAGCAACGTCCGGCGGATTATAATGAAAAGCTGACGAGCTTCCACTCCTACTGCAGCAAACACATCGCCGACAAAAGCATCCAGCCAAGCCACATCACCAACATGGACGAGGTGCCGCTCACTTTCGACACCCCGGTGAATCACACGGTGGAGAAGAAGGGGACCAGCACTGTAGCGATACACACAACGGGGTATGAAAAGGCGTCGTTTACTGTTGTGCTTGGCTGCCACGCAAATGGAAAGGAAACTGCCGCCTATGGTGATTTTTAAGAGAAAGACTCTGCCTAAAGAGACTTTTCCAGCTGGAGTCGTTATTAAGGCAAATAAAAAGAGCTGGATGGATGAGGAAATGAAGAAAGAGTGGCTGAGGGAGGTGTATGTAAAGAGACCAGGTGGTTTTTCCCACGCATCACCATCGCTGTTAATCTGTGACTCCATGCGTGCCCATCTCGTAGGCGATGTGAGAAGAAAAAAAAAAGGTGAAACAAATGAACGCTGTGCTTGCTGTTATCCCGGGGGGTCTGACAAAGGAACTTCAACCGTTCGACATCGGTGTGAACAAGCCGTTCAAAGTAAGGCAGCGAGCGGCGTGGGAGCAATGGATGAACGACTGAGACCACAGTTTCACGAAAAGTGGAAGGCAGCGCCGGGCAAGTTATGGCACAGTTTGCGGTTGGATTGTAGATGCTTGAGCTAACGTGTCTGCTGGCACTGTTGTTCGAACTTTCGCAAAAGCCGGCATCATTTCCGAGGAGCCGCACGGATGATAATTCGATAAAGCACAATCCTACTGAGTTTTGCTCCCACTCTATTCTTAAATATGCAGTAGAGGTATTTAAACGTAGTAGTGGACATTAGGGCTGCAACTAACGATTATTTTAAAAATCTATGAATCGGACGATTATTTTTTCGATTAACCGATTAATCGGACAAAAAATATTTTTTATATTAACCTCTTTATTCCAAAATAAACATTTTAGACAGAACAAACAAGCACACAGTACAGGTTGCTCATTAACTGTCCTGGTGCAATATGAAAAATAAATGTGTTAAAACTACGCAAACTTACATGAGAAATGTAGCTGTACATCCACAAGCGCAAAAAAGACAGGCATTTTTGTTTTTAAAAGCCCCTAAGGGGTTCAAACAATAGGCCCCCCATTTCAACAAATGAGTTTTTTTTAGACTAGAAGAGTACTGCCTTTTAAGACAGGAAAGTATAGCAGTTAAAGTTGCTACTTGAGAAAATACTGAACCATAGAGATAAAAATAGCCCTGTGATTCAAATTATAAATTGTATTTGGAATAAAAATGAGAGAACTAGGGGTGTTAAAAAACACATCCTCCAAAGATATAGGATTTCCTGAAAGCGCGCACACGCGCGCTCACGACGCTACGGAAGCCGGCAGACCAAGCCAGATGAAAGTGCGCATTCAGCGTCTGCTCTGCCAATAATGCAAGCGTAGAAGAAGAAATGTGCTGTTTACCTGTGCAAAGAAAGAAACAACGAAAGAAAAATGTCTGAGGACTTCAGTGTTGAGGAAGAGCATGAGTTCTTTGCCGAGCTGAATGCGCTGGTTTGGTCTGCCGGCTTCCGTAGCGTCGTGAGCGCGCATGTGTGCGCTTTCAGGAAATCCTATACACTACTGTTTATGCTCTAAAAACATTCTAAATGACTTCGTTTCGAGTAAATTCTGGATGCTACCCACTCTTGGAATACATTGGAAGAGCAGTATGGAGGAATATTGACACGTTTTTTGTGGACTTTTATGGACCTTTCTGTCTCGGTCACCATAGACCTCCATTATTTGAATGTCAGCAGACAGCAAGAAGCCTCCCAGATCTCCAGATGCATTTGAGATATCAAAAAAGTACTCCAGGGTGTTGTTCAGCATGGGGGTGAGTAGAAAATGAAGGCTAATCATGTTTTGGGTGTACTATTCCTTTAAGCTAATTCAAATGAAATTAAAAGTAAAATAAGTAGCCAACCTTATCACTGTCTGTAACCTACTAACACGGTAAGGAAAGCATCAGATGAGCTACCTGAGAAACTAACGTTACGTTTCCCCACTTTAAAACCAAACAAACATGGTGGTTCCGTGCTATGTTAATTTCTTTTGAAAAAAGTTGCATGTTATCACTTTTTTCGCTTTACAAAGCGCAGGCTATTTTAATTATTGTGATCAATTTGCGCCGTCAATCCCGGTGCATGCGCGCTTCATTTGCAGTCCGGACGCTGAGGCTCTGACTGCAGCGCTGAGAGGGACTCCTGCGGGAAAACGCGGTTGGGGTGGGGGAGGCGCCCCACGGCAGAGTAGGAATGATACATGCTTTCACGTAAGAGTCTCTAAAAGCCGCCAGTGACACCGAAAAAAGTCGCCAGATTTGTCGCTAGTCGCTTTTTTGAAAAATAGTCGCTGGAGGGGTCTGAAAAGTCACCGAGTTGGCAACACTGCACCTGCGGCGCTGACTCGCTCTGCCATATTTTTTTTCTTCCTCTTTCAGTCAAGAGGCAGTGATGACGGCGCGGCGGATGACGCAATAATCGCGCGACACAACTAATCGATGATGAAATTCGTTGCCAACGCTTTTAAAAGTCGATTTTTATCGATTCATTGTTGCAGCCCTAGTGGACATGTATCTGTATATAAACCCGCGCCCTATAGTCCGGTGCGCCTTATGTGTGTGTCAAATATGGTAATTATCCAGCAGGATTATCCACCATGAAAAATAATCAAAAAATACAAATATTTTTTATCCAAATGAGCACCTTCATATGTGCTCGCCAATCAAACCCAGGTTTAAAGCCTTGAAGGTCAGCCTAAAGCCCACTCTTGTTAAGCCAAAAAAAAAAAAAAAAAACTCAGTTCAGGAACCGAGTCAGGAAGTTGTCTATATACCAAACTGAAAGATTGTTGTTCTCTACTTTAAAAACAATTTAGATTTTAAAATGAAAATAAGCTTCTATTTATTATATTTTTATTTAAAAATGGATGCATAACCACCTGCATTTTATTTCAGAGTTAAATTCTATTTATAGTAACAGATTATAATTAAAAATGTCCATGGACCTTTACTGGTTGATTATTTTCTTTATTCGTACCCCATTGATTTTTATTTGGTAACCAAAGACTTTTTTGCAGTTTGAAAGCATTATAATTTAAATACACCTTGCTTATTTCAAACACAAACAAATTTGGAGTTTTGGTGACTAGGGTCACTGCTTTTTTGAGGTATAAATGTACATTTAACGACATGTGTAAACCCTCAATAAGTGGCTGTTGCTTTACAGTTTGTCCAACAAGTATAAAATATAATTATTTTAAAGAGTAAGACCGTTTTAGTTTTTTTCTACATAAAATCAAAATAAAATCTCGCAACAAAAATTGATGTTTCTCTGTCTGAAACAATTTACTTTTGAAGGAATATCGAAGGCGTGTAAATGAACGACATTCACGTTCAGATTTATGTGCAATGGTAGACACAAATAAAGAAGAGAATTCCGCAGATTTTAAAAAAACGGCATTTCAGGGGAATAGACGGGATTTATAAGACCTCATATTACGTAACCTACCCACGTGCGGCAGGGCTGGACAGTCTGAGAGAGTCGATAAGAGGAGGTGGAAAGTTTACATATGAGCCGAAGGGTACAAAAAGTACGACACCCTCCTAAGCTATCATCATACTATTAATTACTCCACTAATATAACATTTATTTACATAAACTAAAAGATGATTTGCGTTTACCGTTGATAGTTTTTGTAATAACTTCCAAACACCGCATTTAAGTATCAAGTCTCTCGAAACCAATCAACCCGCCTAACGGCCTGACCCAGACAGTTAGCATGCTAACAAAACGCAGACGTAATACCAACACATAACACGGAGCCTCGAAGTAGAAACGTTAATATGTCAATAACCGTTACACTTGAAAAATAACGGATATACAGAGGAAAGAATAACATTCAACTTAATTATGTAAAAACACCCCCACGCTAAAGTAACGGCAGGGCCCCACAAAACGGTTAGCTCCAAAGTAAACTCGCTTAAAGGATACACGTTGAGCCTCTGACCCATGTCCTGGATCAGATTAGCCGCTTGTTGTCGATAGGAGAGCTCCCGGTCTGATTCCACTCCACATCGGCGTGAGGGTGTGTTTTCTAGCTGTTCTCGGCTGAAAAACCATTTTGACGAGGAACCCCGGCATGCCGCCATTACTCTGGAACATTCACCTCGGCATCGAGAAACCGGAAGTGACGTTGGGTCTGCCCGAAAACTAGTTTGAGGCAGTACTGCCACCTACTGGCCAGAAATCGATCAGCATGCAACATTGCTCAATGATAAACTGTTGGAACTGTTTTTTGATGAAGTCACCCTCTGTTCTTTAGTATTGTTAAATTTGAAATCTTTTGTATTTTTTCTCACCCAAAGACATTTTACATGGAAAAACGCAATTACAGTGGGTTAGCACTAGTGTTGCGCCGATGCCGTTTTTTGCCCCGATACATGGCTGTGCAGTATTGGCCGATACCAATACCATACCGATACCATCTGTTTGAAATTGATGTGTGTGTGTATTAACTGTATACTACTTGTATGTAAAATTATTGCCATTATAGCTTTGTCAAGCTGCTGCCTACCTCTGTGAAGCAGAAAAAAGACTAATGTGAATCCAGTATAACTTTTTATTGCCTACCTGGATGGGGTGACAATAGTTCAATAAACTTTTGGCTCTGAAAACAGTACCTGTGCCCTATTTGTCAGTACTTGCCAATACCGATACCACCATTTTAGTGCACCTATACTGGTATCAGCATCAGTGCAACACTAGTTAGCACTATTGAACAGATGGTTACTGAGTTTAGACCTGAATAAGAAAAATTCCCTGATGTGATTTACAGGTGCTGGTCATAAAATTAGAATATCATGAAAAAGTAGATTGATTTCAGTAATTCCATTTAAAAAGTGAAACTTGTATATTATATTCATACATTACATACAAACTCATATATTTCAGATGTTTATTTTGTTTAATTTTGATGATTACAAATGACAACAAATGAAAATCTTAAATTCATCATATCAGAAAATTAGAATATTGTGAAAAGGTTCAAAATTGATGGCCCCTGGTGCCACACTCTAATCAGCTAATTAACTCAAACCACCTGCAAAAGCCTTTAAATGGTCTTTCAGTCTAGTTCTATAGGCTACACAATCATTGGGAAGACTGCTGACTTGACAGTGTCCAAAAGACGACCATCGACACCTTGCACAAGGAGGGCAAGACACAAAAGGTCATCGCTAAAGAGGCTGGCTGTTCACAGAGCTCAGTGTCCAAGCACATTAATAGAGAGGCGAAGGGAAGGAAAAGATGTGGTCGAAAAAAGTGTACAAGCAAGAGAGATAACCGCACCCTGGAGAGGATTGTGAAACAAAACCCCTTCAAAAATGTGGGGGAGATTCACAAAGAGTGGACTGCAGCTGGAGTGAGTGCTTCAAGAACCACCACACACAGACGTATGAAAGACATGGGTTTCTGCTGTCGCATTCCTTGTGTCAAGCCACTCTTGAACCACAGACAGCGTCAGAAGCGTCTTGCCTGGGCTAAAGAGAAACAGGACTGGACTGCTGGTGAGTGGTCCAAAGTCATGTTCTCTGATGAAAGTAAATTTTGCATTTCCTTTGGAAATCAAGGTCCCAGAGTCTGGAGGAAAAGAAGAGAGGCACTTCATCCACGTTGCTTGAAGTCCAGTGTAAAGTTTCCACAGTCAGTGATGGTTTGGGGTGCCATGTCATCTGCTGGAGTTGGTCCATTGTGTTTTCTGAGGTCCAGGGTCAACGCAGCCACATACCAGGAAGTTTTAGAGCACTTCATGCTTCCTGCAGCTGACCAACTTTTTGGAGATGCAGATTTCATTTTCCAACAGGACTTGGCACCTGCACACAGTGCCAAAGCTACCAGTACCTGGTTGAAGGACCATGGTATCCCTGTTCTTAATTGGCCAGCAAACTCTCCTGACCTTAACCCCATAGAAAATCTATGGGGTATTGTGAAGAAGAAGATGCAATACACCAGACCCAACAATTCAGAAGAGCTAAAAGCCACTATTAGAGCAACCTGGGCTATCATAACACCTGAGCAGTGCCACAGACTGATCGACTCCATGCCACGCCGCATTGCTGCAGTAATACAGGCCAAAGGAGGCCCAACTAAATACTGAGTGCTGTACATGCTCATACTTTTCATGTTCATACTTTTCAGTTGGCCAACATTTCTATAAATCCTTTGTTTTTATTGGTCTTCAGTAATATTCTAATTTTCTGATATGATGAATTTGAGATTTTCATTTGTTGTCATTTGTAATCATCCAAATTAAACAAAATAAACATCTGAAATATATGTTTGTATGTAATGTATGAATATAATATACAAGTTTCACTTTTTAAATGGAATTACTGAAATCAATCTACTTTTTCATGATATTCTAATTTTATGACCAGCACCTGTATGTTGATATTAACAATAAAATTAATTAAGGAATAGCATTTGACACATAATTAGGGTTAAAAACACATCTACATCGACATACAGTTCTCTCAAGGTTTGACGTACCAATATTTTAGGCTGATATAAGCATATTCTTCTTGTTTAGGCATCGGCTGATATGTAAATGCATTCTCTAGATCATTAATGCATTTAAAAGCCATGCCTAGAGACCAAATGAAGTGTATACATCTCTACTCCCTATCTTTGTCTATCAATGTTTTCCTGGACTTGTTTGTAAAACATAATTTTTTGTCTAAATTGAGACTGCAAAAATATTTACTACAATGTTAATTTCATTACCTAAATAGAAGAAGATAAAGGAATATGGGCTTCAAAAGTCTGCCCACCAAAATTTGTAGCACATATCAGGGAGGGGGTTTAACCTTAAAAAAATGTATCTAACCTATATTTACACCAGAAGCAAACAGCATCAGAGTCTATTTGGAACCGGATTAACAGCACCTAAATAACAGGTTTTTTTTCACACCTGGATAAAATTAGGGCTGAACGATTTTGCCAATAATCAAAATTGCAATTATTTCTATTCAAACTTGGTTTTTAATATTTTTTTTATTATTATTTTGATTTTCCTTTGCATTAACCCCAAGCTTTTAGATGTTTCATTTCAGGCTTTCAGTTTTTGAAACCTTGCTTGCCCAGAGTCCATTGTTACAGGACTTTATTGTAATCATTGAGTGAAAAAGTTTTCACTTCTACTTGAATTTGTGCAAGCTGCAACTCTCTCCACCTTTCTGAGAGGCAAAAAACCCACTTTAAGCTGTTAATCACCACCTAAAGGACTGGGGGGAGACATTTAGTGTCCTACTATTGTTAGGTATAGTATGAGTAAAAATCAGTGCCTCTGCGATTTGAAAATTAGGTTTTGTTAGATTGCAATTATATTGCAAAGAAATTAATTGCCTAGCCCTAGATACAATGTGCAGAATCCAAATCAATGGGTGAAACAACTTTGTTCTGTTTAAAGCAGATCACATCAGGTGTTAACACACCTTAAGATTCACTCTTTTTTATGATAAACACCCAAAAGTTGTTTTTTTTTTGTTGTTGATATTTTTACTATAGGAATAAAGTTTTAGTGCATATGAACCCGTATTTTAAAGAATCTCTGTTCATCGCTGAATATTCAGACGGACTTGATATCTAGGATTTTGAACAGCAGGTGGTTAAATGTATTCCAGATTGCTATCATGTAGCAACTGCATAGTCATTAGCTTTCTATGGTGTTCAGCAGTTTTGTTTTGTTTAGATTTTTTATGATTATACTGAATATAAGCAAATATTCTTACAAATTTGAAATGCTGATTAAACCCTAAAAATGTAGTTATTTTAACAGAGATGCCTCGGAGACTGTGCTGCCACACATAAAGGTAAGGTACATACAGGTGCTGGTCATAAAATTAGAATATCATGAAAAAGTAGATTGATTTCAGTAATTCCATTTAAAAAGTGAAACTTGTATATTATATTCATACATTACATACAAACTCATATATTTCAGATGTTTATTTTGTTTAATTTTGATGATTACAAATGACAACAAATGAAAATCTCAAATTCATCATATCAGAAAATTAGAATATTACTGAAGACCAATAAAAACAAAGGATTTATAGAAATGTTGGCCAACTGAAAAGTATGAACATGAAAAGTATGAGCATGTACAGCACTCAGTATTTAGTTGGGCCTCCTTTGGCCTGTATTACTGCAGCAATGCGGCGTGGCATGGAGTCGATCAGTCTGTGGCACTGCTCAGGTGTTATGATAGCCCAGGTTGCTCTAATAGTGGCTTTTAGCTCTTCTGAATTGTTGGGTCTGGTGTATTGCATCTTCTTCTTCACAATACCCCATAGATTTTCTATGGGGTTAAGGTCAGGAGAGTTTGCTGGCCAATTAAGAACAGGGATACCATGGTCCTTCAACCAGGTACTGGTAGCTTTGGCACTGTGTGCAGGTGCCAAGTCCTGTTGGAAAATGAAATCTGCATCTCCAAAAAGTTGGTCATCTGCAGGAAGCATGAAGTGCTCTAAAACTTCCTGGTATGTGGCTGCGTTGACCCTGGACCTCAGAAAACACAATGGACCAACACCAGCAGATGACATGGCACCCCAAACCATCACTGACTGTGGAAACTTTACACTGGACTTCAAGCAACGTGGATGAAGTGCCTCTCTTCTTTTCCTCCAGACTCTGGGACCTTGATTTCCAAAGGAAATGCAAAATTTACTTTCATCAGAGAACATGACTTTGGACCACTCACCAGCAGTCCAGTCCTGTTTCTCTTTAGCCCAGGCAAGACGCTTCTGACGCTGTCTGTGGTTCAAGAGTGGCTTGACACAAGGAATGCGACAGCAGAAACCCATGTCTTTCATACGTCTGTGTGTGGTGGTTCTTGAAGCACTCACTCCAGCTGCAGTCCACTCTTTGTGAATCTCCCCCACATTTTTGAAGGGGTTTTGTTTCACAATCCTCTCCAGGGTGCGGTTATCTCTCTTGCTTGTACACTTTTTTCGACCACATCTTTTCCTTCCCTTCGCCTCTCTATTAATGTGCTTGGACACTGAGCTCTGTGAACAGCCAGCCTCTTTAGCGATGACCTTTTGTGTCTTGCCCTCCTTGTGCAAGGTGTCGATGGTCGTCTTTTGGACAACTGTCAAGTCAGCAGTCTTCCCCATGATTGTGTAGCCTATAGAACTAGACTGAAAGACCATTTAAAGGCTTTTGCAGGTGGTTTGAGTTAATTAGCTGATTAGAGTGTGGCACCAGGGGCCATCAATTTTGAACCTTTTCACAATATTCTAATTTTCTGATATGATGAATTTGAGATTTTCATTTGTTGTCATTTGTAATCATCAAAATTAAACAAAATAAACATCTGAAATATATGAGTTTGTATGTAATGTATGAATATAATATACAAGTTTCACTTTTTAAATGGAATTACTGAAATCAATCTACTTTTTCATGATATTCTAATTTTATGACCAGCACCTGTAAATTACAGAAGGACTAGTTAAAGTAGAACAATATGTCATTTCAAGTTTTTCATTTGTCCTCAAAAACTAATAAAATGTAGTAAGATTTTCAAGTTCTTTGTGGCTTTTTCATACTTTATTTAAATATACCAACTGCTTCAAATCAGAATTTATTAAATGAAAATCTTAATGCTGTTTCACTTTAACATTTGCTTCCTAAAAAGTAAAATAAACCCATTTGTAACATTGCCAGAAGCTCCTCCAGAGTAACACAGCACACTATAAAAAAAAAACTCAAAACAAGTGTTCAAGAGAAAAAAAATCTACATACACTGCTGAAATCTGACAATAAGTAATATTAAACTTTTTTACAACTTAAATTGCTACAATAACAATGAAAAATAATGTTGAAGTGTCCATTTGTTGAAGAAAATGTGAAAACTATGAATGAAAGAACCTTGACAATCCCATGTCCATCAAACAAATCACTAATTACTATTGATATTTAATAAAATCGTTCATAATGGAATTTAGAAAAACAATATTTTATTTTACTTACATTAGATATGTAAGTTTTGTGGATAATTCAGAAATAGCATAGGTATTAATTTATAAGTGCAGTATATTTCAGAGTAGAGCTTTTCTGGGGAAAACAATAGGCCAGATGCAATAAGTAACATTATAATATTTTCCCAGCAGAAACTTAAAAATAAGGAGCATTTGAAAACATATACCCCCCAAAAATTAATAAATAATAAAGCAGAATCGCATCTGATGCGAGGGAAAGAAATCTCTTATCATCTATAGTAATTCTTTTGGTAAGCAAAAATGAACAAAAAATTAGCAAGGTTTATCCAGGGAAAGTCTCTCTTTTAATGCAGGTTACGCCAAAGAAACATACAAAACAACAAAAAATTAGTGGATGTTTCAGAAGAGCAAATAACCCTAGTTCTTGTTTTTAGAAATATTGTCTATGTTGGACAATCCTTACATGAAATAAAAGGGTTTTTTATATATCTGATATAAATCGTTAGCATCTGGATCTGATGCTGTCGTGCATCCTGTTACACAAACTGCTCTTTTTTCAGGCCCAAAAATTCCAGTGCATTTCCAGCAAGCAGCTTCTCCTGCAAAGCAAAGAGAAATTAATGCACAGCATGATAGAAAATCTTTTTTTCTATGCTTATAAGGACTCCCTCCTTAATTATTTTTTTAATATATTGAAAAATATATTAGCACTGATTTTTTTTTTTTATCTCACATCAGTGGACTAATTACATTTAATTGGTGAAAAATGCTCCATAGATGAAAGGATCATTACCTTCAGTGCTTCATCAAACTCATCCATAGATTCAATGAGTGACCCAGGTTGCAGCTCGCCGAGTGGGAATGGATAATCTGTTCCTAGCATTACTTTATCCTGGAAAACCAGTACAATCAGTTTATTTTAGGACACAGTAACAGGCACATGTGCAATACTTAAAAGTGTATGCCATCAAGGTAAGGAAAACTTTTGAACATTCATAGAACTGCCTGACAGATTTTATGGAGGCAGGTAAAGACACCATCCTTACAATATCACCATCTGAAACAAGCTTTCACCAGAACATCTGATGGACAATTTCAACAAATTGGTTGATTTGGGTCAATTCCTTAGTTAACAAATATAAAACACTAACAAAAACATAACAGATGGTAATCTTTATGCGTATGCTACACAGAAAAAAAATAATGCATCCGCTTTTGGCATTTAATTAATCATATATTGTTATGTTTAACATGAAAAATGTATGTTAATTGTGTTACTAAATATGATAAAGTAAATGCCAAAAGCAGTTGCATTATTTTTTTCAGCGTATCTCATGGTTCTGACCCCAAATCTACACCAAGGTTTTTCATATGCATTGAATTAGTGAATGTTATAATTGGAGGCTGACATCTAACCTAAGGTTAGAAGTCAACCCAGGGTTCAATGGAACAGAAAAAAATAAAAATCTCTCTTTTCTTCACGAAGCTGAGGAAAATTCTAGACAAGCTGTACATTGATATTATGAACGCACAGTTCATAATATCAATGTTTGATTAAAACTGATCTGAATAGAGTGCCTTGAGGTACCCCAACATGTGATCTTTGTTCGCTCAGATTAAAAACTGCTAAAATAAACTCAGTATGACAAGTATGATTTTAATGAAATCATTACATTATCTGAAAATCTCACTTGGTTTTAATTAGGGCTAAAACTATTAATCAGATTCATTGTTAATCGAGTATTGAAATAATTGTCAACTAATTTAGTAATAGATTAAACGTCAACTGGATCATAGGGACTCTAAAACATGCCTTCACCTGCCTTCTTTAAAGAATCTTTGGCTGTCCGATTATTAATCAGTTCATCAAGAAAATAATTTACAGATTAATCGATTTGCAAAATAATCTAATTAGTTGCAGCTCTAGTTTTAAATTTGATCAATTTGACCAATACTAAAAAAATGTGTTTGACTGCAGAGCCAATAATGTTAATCTAAAACATGTTTCAACACAAAGAATTTTTTAAAACCAGGTGAATAAATCCAAACAAAATTCAAGTTATTCTATATCATTAACAACCAAAAATTTATTTCATACTGAAAATTAATCATTTACTCCCGTTAATATTACTTAACACTTAAAGAGTCATGTAATGCCTCCCTGAAACATGATGTACATACATCATGTTTTAGTGAGGCATTACATGGCAATTAAATTACACTTTTAAACTCACTTCTCCAATGACATTAATGAGCAGCTTCAGGGCAACTGGATCATGAACCAGTGAGTCAGTGTAGAAAGAGCTGAGGTATTTACGTGGACTGATTGCGTTATCAACTGCACACAGGTCAGGGCGAACTTTGTGGCCGTGTTCAATTCTGCCAACAGTAAATGGGAAAGAGCCCCCTATGGGCAAACAAAAAAAGTCACCAAGGTGGAACTAGAGCACAGAGATGCTATTTGAAATACTTTAAGTACTGTTTTTAACTATCTTATGCAGCAGTAAAATAAATCTTGAATATAAAAGTCAAATGCTTAAAGTCTAGTGTTTTACCTCCATGAGCGAAGCAGACTTTCAGTTTTGGAAATCTCTCAAAGATCCCTCCAAATATCATTGAACAAATAGCCATGGTTGTCTCTGTTGGCATGCCTTTCAAACAGATGAGAAGTAATTTAACATTAAAACACACAGGTTCTGCAACAGCATTTTCCCTGTTGCCAACAGACGGTTGAACTGTCAAACTCTAAACTGGATTCTGCATCACACTTGCAACATTATTTTGCACCACCAACGTGGGTGAAACTTTTATAATCCTTTTAAATAAGACACAACCCAATGTTATGCTGCATTTTGCACAATATTTATCTTGCACTGCACTGAACCTTTCCATATTAATGCACTTTTGCACCATTATTTTTCAAACTGGTTTCCTTAATAATCTTTTTTGTTTCTGTATTTTTTTTATTTTTTTCCTGCTTGCTTTGATTCTGTTTTATTTTCCTATATTTTAATCACGTAAAGCACTTTGCATTGTCTTTGTACTGAATTGTGCTATACAAATAAATTTGTCTTGCCTTGCCTTTTCTCCCACACTGTTCACATGCTGATCTCCGCTGCACTTTGTAATGGTAATGCTGTAAGCAACGTAACTTTGCTTTGTAAACACTTGATGTATTGATAATGACAATAAAGTTTGTCTAAGTCTAATGATTTCCAGTATTCAATTTACTACAGAAAATAGAGCTGCCATTTTTCTGTTGTTTTGGATTGTTTCACATTGGTAATCGAACAACATCTCCTGTTTCTACTCCAGCTCCCTCACCCACCAGCCAGGGAAGCCAATACTTAGCCATCCTCCCATCTGTCTGCATGTCCCATGGGTGGACAAATATGGAACATCCCAGCTCCTCTGCTGCCTGCATGCAAGACACGTAGTGAAAGATCAGTAATGATGCTGCAAAAAAGGGAAGCTGCAAGCTCAAAGAAACTTAAGAAATATAACTAATAAATCATCCAATACTGTTATATCATTATTATGTAAATGCATGCTGATGTTGTCTGAGCTCTTACAGCATAAAAGGGAAGAAGTTCAGAGGCGTTGAGGTCCCACTGGTTGATGTGTGAACCGATCTGCACTCCAGGGAACCCGAGCTCCTTCACACAGCGCCTCATTTCCAGCACAGCCAAGTCAGGGGCTTGCATGGGCAGCGTGCCCAGGCCCACAAACCTCTTAGGGTGACTGTGCACCGTTTGGGCTATATTGTCATTTAAAAGGACACAGAGATCCAACGTGTCATGAGGTTTGGCCTGAAATCAAAAATCTCGTTGAAAGTGGGAGAAAGTGAAATAAAACAGGAGTTTACAGCGAGTTTTAAGAGTATTGAAAGTAGTGAAGATTTATCACCCTATTTTTACATTACTTTACCTAACTTTTTATTTAGTTATAATCATATATGATAATCAATAATCACGATACTCTAAAGTGAAGGAGAAATAATTCATGATAAAGTTCAATATTTTATGTGTTTAGAAAAAAATCTCACTCCATATCTTCCTGATAACTTCATATACTTAGTGAAACATGCTTCATGCTGCATGGATGTTTTGCTTAAAAAATAGTTAGAGACAACAAAACAGGTTGCATTATATATTAAGAAATCTTGTGATATATAACTACTTGTTTTCTTCGCCTCTCTTTCTCGCCTGTGCTTCCTATACTCTGTTTCCTTTAGCATATCTGGAAATGTTATCTCTCTATTACTGACTGTCTCATGGCAGTTACAGAAATATCATACAAATATTTACAATATATTGTGCTGCGCTGATATAAAACATCTGAGACTTAAATAGATGTTTACCTTCTAGAAAGTACCCCCTAAGTAATACAGCTGGAGCTACAATGAAATGGATGGCCAAATAGTGAGCACAAACATTTTAAATATCAAATACACATTTTAAATATCAAATACCACCTTCTTTAGAGTCATTTGTAAAAAAAAACAAAAAATCTTTTTAACAGAACTTGGAGTTTTACCAATTTGATTTATATCTATATAAATTTGATTCAATCTATATAAATCAAATAAGGCAAATCCGTTAATGCTGCATGACTTGTGGAATGATACCATTAAATAAGGCATCACATTTTTACACAGAATCTAACATTTCTAATTTTTTGGTGGAAATATTTATTCTAAACTTTGCACTTGAACACAATTAGGTTGGGTTAAATGCCTCCTGATTAAAGGTCTGGCTTTAGAGAATCACACAAATCAATTCAGTGCATTTCAATAAACAGGATTAAGTACTGTTGTAATTTAAATAATTGGGATTTCTAGATTTGTTAGATTATCCAGCAGAACTTATTCCAGTTAGCTACTTTCACTGCTTGGACTTTTAGAAGATACTAATGCTCCTCTTAAAAGGACGTTATGTTTGAAGCTAAGATGAATTGACTTGAACAACTATTTTGTCTTTTGGTATTTATTACTTCTACAACACGAATAAAAAAATGGTAATAACAATATTTCAAAAAATATATCAAAATTGGTCATTTTAACAGAATTTGAAAACTGTGGGTCTAGATAAAAAGCATATGGATGAGATTGACCCACGCAAAGTCTAGATCTTCATGCAAATAGGAGTCTATATAAGAACTTAAAAACTGCTATTCATAGATGCCTCCTAATCACATTCATTTTTACCTATTTTTGCAAAGAACTAGCAAATATTTTTCCTTCTAGATATGCAAAGCTGGTTTAAACATAGCACATAGCTGTGCAGCTGAGATTGCAACAATAAACTGTTCAAGGAGAGTTTTCTGGAGGTTCCTAAACAGAAACTTTAAAAGATGACATGTATCATTTTTCTTCTACTTGGTTTTAATGCACTATGCCTACTTTGTTTTCATTTGTCACTGTTGTAATTGAAATAAACAAGTCTGTTCTTTTACTGCAAATGCTTTATACTGCATGGATTCTTTTGGAATGCGTTTGATGGGGTGTTATGCAATCTGCTTCTGTTCTTCTATGAATATTCAAAGGTGTTTGGTTAACAAACAAATCACAAGAAACTGTTTGTAATAAAATTGCAGGAAAAACTGACCCAATAACTGAACATCACAGGAACCGTCGACAGGGCCTGAACGGTAACGCCTGCAAATAATAAAATGAAATGCTATTCTCAGGAAAGATAAAGGTGGAACAGCAAAAACTGCTGGCTCATTGAACTCTGAGTACACACTGTACTTGTCCATGTCACGGAGTCTAGCGTTTACATCCCAGCAGTTGTCCTGGATCACCCTGAACAGCTTCCCATCCCTCATCATCTTTGCTTCACCCTGAAAAGGAGCAAAAGCAGCAGCATCACCTTGATGCTTTTCTGGGAAATTATATAAACTGTAATTTTTATTGTAGAAAAGTATGATATACAGTGCAGAGTTATAGAGGCCAGCATTAAAAAAATTAAAGTGTGTCCACATGATGGCAGCAGTCAGTTCATCCTTAAATTTGTCCCTCTCTAAGTGAGTCTGTGTCTCTGTGAAAAAGGGCTTTAAATTCCTTGTCTAAATACACTAAAGAAAATGTGAATCAGAAAGGTTTTACACAATTGAAAATGTATACTTTATCTTTATACTTAATCATGTTGGACTTCCAATTCATGCACCACGTTAAGGTGTCTCAGTTTATGCTAAAAGGGAATCAGTCTTGATGCAGTGGCATCATGCTGTGGTCTGGCCAGCATGAGGAATACTTATGCTGGGGAGCTGCCAGCATGATCCGACTCTGAGCTCAACAAAAATAAAAAGTTGAAAAAATAGTCCTGTGCACTTGTTTCAACTGTCTTCAAAGAATATAAATATTTACCTCGCAGTGATGGTGTAGTTGGACAAACCCATCATAACCATATCTCTGCAGACATGAAAACATATGATTACAGACAATCATGCAGTTAGAAAACACTTTAAAACATGCAGCCTCAGTGATCGGGTTTCATCCACTCATTATGGACTTGAATATCTGAGATGAACTGGCTGAAAAGGTTTGTATTTATGTAGGAATTCTCCTGTTCACACTAGTTAAAGTGTGCGACATAAGCTTGACCATGTCTAGTATTTAATTGAATATCTCTTGGCATGTTGCATCTTAGCCACTCACTTTTTTTTTAACCATCAACCTGTTCCGGCAGAAAGAAGCAGAAAAGCTCTCATTTGAGAAGACAACTTTTATACATCCATCCATCTTATTCCTGTGGAAGGAGTACCCAGAAAACCCACAAATGTATGGGGAGAACCTGCAAACTCCACGCAGAAAGACCCCAGGCTGGGAATAAAACCTGGGACCTTCTGGTTGCTATGCAACAGTGCCACACACTGCACCATCGTGCAGCCAACATTCATTTAAGAAATAAGGTTAATGTCTGGATTGATTCTTAAGCCACTGTTACCCTTCTGTGTCCATGCTGTGTGTGTGTGGGGTCAAGTTTCAATTTGATTCAGTTTGATTTGGTTCTCAACCAAACCAGTTCAGTGCACTTTTGTTCAGTTCACTAAGTTTAAATTTGGTTTGGTTTAGTTCAGTTTAATTCAATTAAATGCAAATCAATTCAATTCATATTGTTCCCAATGGATATTAAATGTTGTAGTAATTAATATGTTTTTTTTTTTTTTTTTTTACATATTATTGTATATGTTGATAACTGTGGGCAGGGTTGATCTGATGTTGCAGTGTGTCTTACACCGAATCTGGAGAGCACTTTCGCTCAGGACAATCTGATGTTGTTTGTGCTTTTAATGTAAAGTGTACCGTAGGTACATGTGTCTCGCAAATAAAAAAATCATAATTGAGACATTTAGAAATGACCAAAGCGACCACAGCCTCCCAAACTTGTCATTAAGTGGAGTAAAGCTGGAGCTCATGTGCTGCTGTCCATCATAAAGCTATGTTTACAGTACACTGACCTAAGGTGAGATAATTCCATAGAAGATCTTGCTCTAGAACCAGCACATGGCTGAATGTTGTGTCATCTTTATAAAGGGTTTCTGAAGGAGGCAAAGTGAGGCTTATGAACCTAAGGAAATGGCAGAAATAACCATGGTGGTAGCATCATGCTTTGGGATTGTTTTATTTATTTTTTGTCACCATTGGGTTTAATGATTTGAAATACCTCCAAGTTTTCTTTAAATCTTCACCTCATATCAACAACTATTTAAACATGGACAAAAATGCTATTGTAACATCACAGTGATCCAAAAACCTTTCAAAAAGTGGGTTTGGAAGAGATAAAGATGGCAATTAAGTCCTGGATTGATCTAAATCTCAACTGTACTGTAATGTGTGGATCAGCTCTAAAAGTCAGCTCAACAGCAAACTAACCAACTGAAATAAATTCAACGTATTCTGCCAATTGGGCAGGTTTAAGCATCCAGACAGAATTAATTTGCAACTAAAAGCATGGGCTGAGTTTTAATTAGCAAAGGAACATTTGGTCACATATCCCTGTTGGTTCATGTATATATCTGAGCTTGTTCTTCCATTGCTTGCCTTTAGAATGGATTGAAACTGTTTATTGTGTAATTATTGACAACGATGCAGAAATATGATTTGAATACACTTTAAAACCATTATAGAATTCACCTCCATTAGAATTGATTATCTCATTTATCTTGACAAAGGATCAGTGTGTAAACAGGTTTGGTATTATTTGCACAACTCCTCTGGAAGCCATTATTGATTGGCCCATCTGTGGTGGTTCAGTAACAGTCCTGCATCTGCTCCACCTCCCTAAAATAACTGCAAGCGAATGCCATCGGGGGCTGTTGATGCCTCTTACATGCAAATGAAAATGATCCATAAGAGGACTGGAGCCAGTAAAGCCTTATTTGACATCAGTGCAGATCAGCTGCTGTGTGTACTTTTCTTAAACATAAGAAGAAGAAAACAAACCAGCTCCTAAAAAGATCAAGATAGGTTTGTGTTTGTGTAGAATACAGTGCACTTTTCTTTGTGTTTTCTTTTCTTAAGTTCTGTTAAGGTACGGCACTTTGAATTGTCTAGTTAGTGAAGTGTGCTATGCACACAAACATACCTTTCCTAGAATAAATCTTTGCCTATGTGGTTAAAATAAATATAAACTACAGAATTATATTTATAGGGAGGGAAAGTTTTTATGGCTTAAATGTATAATTCTCAGAAGTGTTTAGTATTTTTTTTTTCTTATTATAAACACATATACTACATTTTAGACTTTTGGGAAAAAAAAATAAAAAATTACCCAAGAGATATTATAATATTTCCATAGAGTTTTAAGGTTTTTAAGGTAAAATCACTTTTCACTTTGGATTGTATAATGAATTGAAATGTTAAGTATTCTAAAGAATAGTAAGGGAAAAGGCTCAAAAGAAGAGCAGTGAAGATTTTTGTTGTTGGAGGTTTAGATGCAGCATAAGACTCACTCTGTCGCCTTCACTTGATGTAAGAAATCATTAGCTAAAGCAAGCAGACACACTAACAAAGACATAAAAGCTAGAACAGATAGAGCAAGACCAGAGCTCATTGATTAAAGTTTAACCATCCATAGAGCTCAGACTTATGGTGTGAGTTATTAATCTCCTTGCTGACATGTCAGCAGCAAGCTAGATCAATTCCGTGTCCCTGCCACATAATTCAATCTGCCTACTACAGAGGTGACACAGATACAGTAATATGGAAATAATTTGAGCCTCAAATACTCAGAATGAGATTTCAACAAGATAGCTTGTAGATTTAAGTAGATCGAAGCTTAAGGCTGTAAACTCTTTAATCCCTCATTAGCTTGTATGTCAGAGCACCTACCTGCTTCAAGTCGGGCCATTCCTTTGGTAATATATGATTGTGAATATCAATTTTCATCCTTCTTTTTACGACAAAGTTGGTATTAAGGTCTGAATCACAAGCTATCGTTAGAATCTCTGCTAAAACTCTCTCCGTACCCTCAACTGGAAAACAGGGACAAGCAGGTGAATGACTGCTGGAACTTGCTGGTCATATATTACCTAATCTACTTAAAGTCCACTCATTTATATGGCAGGGCTGCAATTTCACATCCATTATCATGACTTTTCTTATCTGCACTGTAATGTTTAGAAATGTATTTTGCATTGAAGTAAATCAGTTTAATTGTTTGAAAAGTAGCTTTTAACTATGCGCCTTAATTTGTGTAATCAGATATATCCTCTTAGGAATTGTATACCTAAATCTTCCCTTATTTCAGAAAAACTAGATAGAGAAACAAAGTACAAAAAAAAAAAAATCCAATATTTTAAATTCAAAAAAGAAATTAATGGATTTTATAACCTAAAGAAATACACAGAACTTCAAAAATATACAGTTATATAAGTCTATTTGGTTTTCTTAGAAACAAGATTCTAATCTTTTGTATAAAAAAGCATGTGTCACATGGATTGAGCATGAGAAAATGCAGGACAAGCAGTAGAACTTAAAGTCCTGTCACAGCTTTAAAGTATATGTGTTGCTTCTGATGGAGAGTCTGGGCCGTAAATTCTTTGAGCGGCCAGTCTAAACTCATATCTTGCAAGGGCAAGTCTGAAAATTAGGAAACTAAATATGTATAAATGTATGTATGTATGTATGTATGTATGTATGTATGTATGTATGTATGTATGTATGTATGTATGTATGTATGTATGTATGTATGTATGTATGTATGTATGTATGTATGTATGTATGTATGTATGTATGTATGTATGTATGTATGTATGTATGTATGTATGTATGTATGTATGTATGTATGTATGTATGTATGTATGTATGTATGTATGTATGTATGTATATATGTATGTTTGTATGTATGTACAGTATGTATGGAGGGATGGGTTTTCTTTTATTTTTTTCTGCAAATGGTTTCTCCTTGGGCTGTATTATATTTTGTACACATGCTTTTAATTTTTTTTCTTTGTACTAAATCAGCATTCTATGCCGAGAGTCAATGAAAATAATCAATTAAGTCTTGTCCAATTTAATTCAATTCAGTTTATTTATATAGCGCCCAATCACAATACATGCCATCTCAAGGCACTTTATAGAGATAATTCAAAGAGATTATACAGTCAAATTAGTTCAAAGTTTTCTATCTAAGGAAAACCACTTGATTGCATCAACTCACGCACTTAAAGGCAATCCCTCACACCAAACACGCTTATAGCAACAGTGGAGAGGAAAAACTCCCTTTTAACAGGATGAAACCTCCAGCAGAACCAGGCTAACTGTGAGCGGCCATCTGCCGAGGCGGACTGAGGTTCAAGGAGACAGAAGCAGAGACACAAAAAGAAGCAGATATACAACAGATGACTGTTAACCAGCTCCACAGGCGGCCCCGTCCAGGAAACACACAGCCAGGCAGATGAGCTTAGAGCCAGCTTCAACGTCAGAGGACGAAGGGAGCACAGCACATCCAGCCAGTCACAGTCAGGGAAACAGCTCTACACTGAAAAATAGGACAAGCTAAAACATCTAAAAAAAAAAGGGGTTGATGGCAGCAGCACAGCTGATATTTCTCTTCAGGATGGTGTCACAGCCAAACAGGAACAGGCCAGATGAAGAAAAACCAGAGAGGGCATAATGTTAGAGATTGAACTATCAATTTCTGCAGAGTCGGAGAATAGAGATAGAATGAAGCCGAATGGTGTAAAAAGGCAGTCTACGCCTATAGCAGCATAACTATAGAGATAGCTCAGGATAACCCAAGCCACTCTAACTATAAGCTTTATCAAAAAGAAAAGTTTTAAGCCTACCCTTAAAAGCAGACAGGGTGTCTGCCTCAAGGACTAAAACTGGTAGTTGGTACCACAGGAGAGGAGCCTGATAACTAAAAGATCTGCCTCCCATTCTATTTTTGGAAATTCTAGGAATCACTAGTAAACCTGCAGATTGAGAGCGAAGTGCTCTGTTAGGTACATAAGGAAGAATCAAATCTCTGATGTAAGATGGTGCTTGGTCATTGAAAGCTTTATGAGTGAGAAGGAGGATTTTAAATTCTATTCTAGATTTACCAGGAAGCCAGTGAAGATAAGCTAGGATAGGTGAAATACGATCTCTATTTTCTTTTTTTTTTTTTTTTTAACTTTGGCTGCAGTATTTTGGATCAGCTGAAGGCTTTTAACAACAGTTAATGGACTACGTGATAGCAAAGAATTACAATAGTCCACCCTTGAAGTAACAAATACATGGAAAGGTTTCTCAGCACAGGATATTTCTAATTTTTGCAATATCTGCAAATGAAAGAAGGAAATTCTAGAAAACTCTTTGATTTAAATGACAGGTCCTGATCAAAAATAACACCAAGATTTTTTATTTTACTGTTTGAGCTCAATTTAATCCCATCCAAATTAAATTTCTGACTAATCAGCTTTTTTTTCATAGACTCTGGTCCAAAGACTATAACTTCTGTTCTTTACTGCATCAGAAGTAGGAAATTAAGAGTCATCCAGGTTTTTATGTTTTAAAAACTTGCTTGCAATCTATGTAATGGATTAGCGTAATCTGGATTTGTAGACAGATATAACTGAGTATCATCAGCATAACAGTGGAAATTATTCCCATGCTGTCTAATAATTCTACCGATTGGGAGCATATATAAAGTAAAGAGAATTGATCCTAGCACTGATCCCTGTGGTACTCCAAAGTCTTCATGAGGAAGATTTATCATTAATGTGAACAAAATTAAATCGATCAGATAGATAAGATTTAAAATAGTCTAGTGCTGTTCCTTTAATTCATACAAATATTCAAGTCTTTCTAAAAGTATAAAATATATAAAAATATTATGATCAACAGTATCAAATGCAGCACTGAGATCTAACAGAACAAGTACTGATACAAGTCCATTATCTGAGGCCATGAGGATATCATTAGCGACTTTCTCCAGAGCCGTTTCAGTGCTATAATGAGCTCTGAAGCCAGACTGAAACTCTTCAAAAAGTTCATTATGGTGTAAGTGATCGCACACTTGTTTGGTAACTATTTTCTCACGAATTTTATACAGGAAAGGAAGATTGGATACAGGTCTATAATTGACCAAGTCATCTGGGCCAAGAGACTGTTTTTTAAGTAAAGGTTTAATTACAGCATCCTTAAAAGCCTTTGGTAAATATTCCTGTAACAGAGATGGATTAATCACATCTAAAAAGGAGGAGGAGATCAAAGGGAAAACTTCCTTAAAGAAGCTGTTTGGAACTGGATCTAACATACAAGTTGAAGATATAAATGAAGACAATAGTTTTGCTAACTCTGAAAGTTCATCTGGATCAAAGCAGTCTAAACCCAGTTCAGATTCCATGACTACCTCAGATACTGCCTCAGCTTCCAGAGATAAACCATTAGAGGGGTGCTAATTATCTTATTTTTACTTAATCAATTTTATTTAATAAGAATCCCATAAAATCGTCACTGCTAATAACAGGTGGGATGGACAATCCCACAGAGTTATGGCAGTTATGTATCAAAAAGATATCTAGGATTATTCTTATTCTCCTCTAAAACGTAGGATTCCCGTAGGCATGTAGAGCGCCATTTTCTCTCCAGTTTCCTAGCATTTTGCTTTAGTGTGCAGCTCTGCATTAAACCAGGGAGCAAGCTTTATTATATTAGTTTTTCTTTTTCAAAGGGGCTGCATTAACTAATGCAGTACGCATAGAACTAGCAACCCCATCAACAAAATAATCAACCCGTGAAGGGGTATAAACTAAACTTTTGCCCTCTGCAGCACTGCTCAGCGACAAAGAGGAGCAAGAAAGTGAAAAAGATTCTTTAAAATGTATAACTGCACCAGCAGATAATGATCTGTTAGACTGAAACCTTCTTTTGGGGGAGGAGAACTCTGTTAAAGTAATCCTGAAGGTTATTAGAAAGTGGTCAGAGAGGACAGGGTTGTGAGGTAATACTGTTATTTCTTCACATTCAATGCCATATGTCAGCACAAGGTCCAGAGTATAAATATGAGAATGTGTGGGACTATTCACCTTTTGAACAAAACCAATAGCATCAAAGATAGCATTAAATTCTGCACTTAAGCTATTACTTTCAATGTCAGCATACTGTAGATGTTAAAATCTCCCAATATGATGACCCTATCAGTATTTGACACCAAATCAGTTAGGAACTCTGAAAATTCATCTCAAAATTCAGAGTAAGGACCTGATTAATGTTAGAAAAAATAAAGAGAAGAGGTTCTGTGGCTTTGCATTTTAGATGAGGGAAAGTAAGGGTTAAATATTTAAAAGAGTTGTAATTATTTACTGCCTTATGAGTAAAAAGTAAGTCAGACTGAAAGATTGTTGCTACTCCTCCTCCTCACCCAGAAATTCTGGGTATCAGAAAATATAAATAACTAGAAGGAGTGGCCTTATTTATGTTCACATAATCCTCTTGCTGCAGCCAAGTTTCTGTAAGGCAACATATTTCAATGTGATTAACACAAATCAAATCATTAACTAGCAGACTTTTTGAAGAAAGAGATGTTAAACAAACCACTATTAATCGTTTTAACTTTTTCCCCAATTGGAGCTATTTTAATTTTAACTAGATTATCAAGATTTACTCCTTTGGGATTATTTTCTAATTTATTTGATTTTAATCGTGGGCAAGACACTGTCTGGATGGAGTAATGGGGGATAACAGCAGAGAAGCAGCAGAGAGGTGTGTTAAATTATGATAATAACACAGATTCTTCATGTTTTTTTCAGGTGAATGTGTCATTACTATTTTTGTTTTTTTTTAGAGAAAAGGTTTAGTTTTGAATATGTAATACTTAATATAATGAAAAAAACAATAGATAATTAAGGGGGGGGGGGTAAGTACAAAGCTGAGCAATTTATGATAGCTTAAAATGGATAGAATGTCAGATGGTAGAGATAAATTATGAATATTTTGTTTTGGAATGATTAGAGAACATTTGATATCAACCTTAATTTGGAAAGATTGTTGTGACATTGATAATTATCGAGAAGCTACAGCTAAAATGAATAGATCGCTAATAAACTGAAACTCATTTATAAGCCATTATCATTGGCATAAGTATTTTTTTAAATTAATTGATATATTTTGTTTCCACCAGAAGAGAGACAGGTTCACTGCTGACATTTAACCTCTTACACCCTAAGGGGGTATAAATAAATTTCTGTCTGACAAAAACACACAAAAGTAAATAACTTATAGCCTCAAAGCTATTAGATTTAAGAAGAAACTTTTGGTACCTCTGTAAAGGTAAGATGTCATAGAATGGTTTTCTGGTGTCAGCACCATTGTAGCTTTGACCCTGCCTGAAATATTAGGGACAAAATACAAAATATTTTGCATTTTTTGAACCTCGCCAAAATTTTCTTTGAAATAAACATTGCAAAACACTACCAAAATATTATTTATAGCACAAAAAAGTAGTACAGACTTTTAAATCTAAATGTTGTGTAAAAATATACCAAATTTGGACTCAATCAGATGAATCATATTTATTTTAGAACGGTATTAGTGAGAAATTTCTTAGGCGGAGAGGCCATTTTGGCACATTTATCCAAAAATGTCACCAAACTGTGCCAAATGTGTTTTTTACATCAATACTGGGGGTTTGTTAAAATTACGAGGTCACGTAGCAGCTGGACCCACCGGTGGGTCCGTAGGGTTCTAGGGGTTAATCATGTAGATAAAATTTTTATCTTTGCATACTCTGTCAGGGAAAACCAGATTATTTTGAAAAACCCTGTAGAACAAATTTTTTGGCAAAGAGCAAAAACAAATAGTCTACTTTCATAGCTTTGCTTTTATATTTATATTCAAATGATCAAAATTATCTTTAGTTACACATCTGCTTATGCGTACAATAACAACCTCACAAACCCATACTTGTATCTGTCCGTCCGTCCGTCCGTCCGTCCGTCCGTCCGTCCGTCCGTCCGTCCGTCCATCCATCCATCCATCCATCCAAATAGAAGTCTTGCTAAAAATTCTGAGATAAAAATGTGTGGGCACCCTACAAGAAAATAAAATCTTTATTTATGCAAACCTCATTACATATCCTGTCTTTTCTTTTCTGTAACAATTAGGCGGCTATATTCATGATGAAGTATCTTACAACTAAGTGTTGACTACAGTTACAGTGCTATAATTATGCAACACCGCATCAAATAGATTTGTTTCTTTTAATTTCATTCACATAACAGTGTTTATGGTGGAGTGAGTCAGACATTAAACTACTTTTGCTTTATATGACTTTACTGAAATATTTTCCTTATGAAGATGAACAGTTTAGGGGAGATTATAGTTTCCTATAACATTAGTATAAGTTTTTACATCCGGTAATGTTTTTGTGCAAATTAAATATATTCTAGGGATTAAATATATCTCACTATACTCTTGCTAAACTGATTCATAGTGCATTTTCTAAATTGACTGACACAGGAGTAGTTGGTTTAAACTCACATGCTGTTCAGCCAATTAGAGGTTATTTCATGTGCCTGATGCCAGCATCTTATCTGAGATGGTCATCAACTTAAAACAATCCTCACTTTCTTTTAGGGTCAAAGGAATGTCTGTTCTTTCATGAAGGAAATTATTAGAAGCTTTAAAACAACCTTTTCAAGTAAAAGTGAATTAGACAGGGATTCGGTGAATCTGCTGTTTTGGATCATCAATTATAGCTTGCAATATCATCAAGGTTCACATTCAGTCTATGTTTTGTAAGATTTTGCTTAACATTTATTGCCATGTTTTAAGTAAACAACAGAGATCCCTGTGAAAAACATATTTGGATGAGTTGATATTTAATTACAAGTTAAACAGTATATACAGGGGTAAGTAAATATTGTTCTTTTTATTTGTAATAAAATGTAATTAAAAAAACTGTAATTCCCTATGATTAATGGTACAGAGAATGGATTTAAAGAGGTTTCACGTCATTGCAGTAAGTGTATTAGACAAGAAGATTAAGAACAACTTTTAACATGGCGAAGATCATTCTTTCCAAAATAGTAATTATTACATATATTAATGACATTATGCAAATGTAACATAGTTTTAGAATCTAACTAGCTAAAAACTCTTTTGTCACAGAACTATAATGAAAAATGGGCGCCAAATTTGCCTCACCAACCTTTTACAGTTATGATCTCAGTTTGTTGTGGGATACATATAAAAGAATATGTGACATTATTCATTTTCAGTTAACAACATTCTAAAAAATAAAGAAAGTATACTTTTTTGTTGCTTATTTTATTTTATTTGGTGCTTTAAAAATAAACGATACTCTACTTGGACATCAAGTTTATTTCTAAACGTTTTGGAAATTATAAACTAGAAAACATATATAGAGTATTTGAATTTCAATTGTGATTTATTTTCTTTTAAATGGAGTTGTAGTTATAAAGTGTCTATTAAAAAATCCTTTTGAGAAATGTAGCTTAGTTTTAATGAAATAATTTCTCCTGAATTCTATAATTCTAACAAACAAACAAACAAAAGATCTAAATGTATTTTCTCAATTACAGTGGTGTTTAAGGTAATTGCTGGTTCTGTTTTACCTTCCTCTTGACAACACTCCAAATTGTCTGTGTGGATTTTAATTAAACTGCAATTCAAACATAGCGCTACCATCACAGAAATAGCAACTGTTGGGATTTTAGACAGTAAAGGCTGGTACTAAAAGCCTATACGTTTCTATTAGGCTTATAAGCATCAGGAAGAGACGTGATAAAAAAGAAAAGCAAAGCATCAACAGATCTAATATCCTCTTAAATCATGACTGACCGTAGCAGCTCGTCATAGACCTAACAGAGACTTTGATTCTGTACATATGAACTCTAGAAATGAGGCTTTGGACAACCGAGCAATGGTCCAAACCCTTTTTTCGTCTTCAGACATACACTGCAAAAAATTGAAACCTAAATAAGTCATTTTTTCTTGCAATAAGTGCATTTTTTCTTGAATTGAGGGGGTAATTGAGACACGTTGCCAATGGAACAAGACAAATTACATTTAAAATAAGAAAACACATTTGCATTGTCTTATTTCAAGAGCATATTATCTAATTATCTTATTTTAAGACTAAAAATACTCATTCCATTGGCCAATTATCTTATTTAATTAATGGTAAATACACTTAATTTAAGATATTTTTTCTAATTTTTAGGTGGCTTTTGCAGTGTATAATACTTCTTACAGTGTCTCCACTTCAAACTGCCAATGAATGCTTCATTTGAAGCCATAGTTTTGTATATGTATGTGCCTGTTGGATTTTAATACATGCCTTGTGAATGACCTAAAATTCTTAAATGGACTTTGCTTCTCTTCAATTTTGTATTTATCAAAGTTCCTTTTTTGTTTAGTTTTTTCACTTACATTTCACTATATTATAATTTAATTTAATGGGGTAGAGCTGATAGCCATGCCATGATTACATTTCAGAAATAAAAAATAATGAATTAACTTAAATAAACAGTTGATTGATTTTTGTGTGTTTGTGTGTGTGTGTGTGTAAGAATCCATAAAGTATAGATTGTATTTTTAGCTGAAACCAGATGTTTTAATGTATTTTCATAATCTCACATAACCATATTGAGCAAATGAGGAGCAGTTTAATAAGCAAAAACCAGAAATCTTGGCTGGCTGTGCTTTTTGCTGACTGTTTCCTGCTTATAGCTTGGACAAGGCTGTTTGTGCTGGTGCATGAAACCGCCCCATCTAAATGACCATTTCCAGGTGATGTACTGGAAGCTGCATTCTTGTATCCAGAAGTAAAATAGAGGAAACAACATTTTTAAAATCTGATCTCCAATCACGAGTTCTATGTTATGTCATTTGTTTTGCGCAAAATATGACTTAATATGACTGAAAAGAGATTGTTGTAAGGCTGTGGATGTGATGCTGAAATATGAGATGATGAGAAAAGCAGGGAGGGGAGGAGGGTAACCAAGTTGCTGGCACCGCCTGCCAGAATCACAGCAGATCTGAGCTTATCGCATCATCGCATCTGACCATAAATTATTGCTTCAGTCAGATCTTCACTGCCGGCATCTCAAGAAGGGACTTACTTCTCACCTGATGCTATAGAGATACACTTTTCTTTTCTCTTATCTTCTCAGATAATCATCTTTCCTCCCAACCTCTCTGCAGAACCGAGTCAACACCGGTGGGATATATGACGCGCTGGATGGCCGCTGCACCTTACCAACCGGTGTGAATATTTTGCTTTATTTTATTTCCCCCTCCATCCAGCCTCATCTTTGTTCACCACTTCCTCCAAGAGGCTGAGCTCAAACAGGGGCTATGGAAGACCAGGTGACCCAGGAGTCCTGCCCTGTCCCGGAGCCGACGGTTGTGGATCCCTGGCCGGCCACGGTGCGGAACGGCCAGTACGCATCTGATGGCTTCAGCAACCATCAGCAGACCAGGAGCCCCACAGAGCCAGAGGCTTTCACAGGGAACCAGGAGATGAAGATTACTGACAATGTGGACGGAGAAGGTAACTTTTTAATGTTTGGGTATTTAACCAGCTTTAAAAGTTGATGGAGTGTTTTTTTTTTTTTTTGGGTGGGATGTCTGTGTTTGAATGCGCGTAAGTGACTGAGAGGTAGAGAGAGACAGAAGGAGGGGGTCTGACGGAGACAGGATGGTTATTTTTATCCATGCCAGATATTTTCGGTCTTCTCTTTGAATAATGTATGATAGTCAGACATCAGCAGGATTCATGTTGGAGCAGTCACAAAATGGATATCAAGGTGAAAACATGAATCTGCCTCGAAGTCATGTATTTATATTTAATACCGTTTACACCTATTCTACTGAATAAAATCCAGTGAAACCGGAGGTCTTTAGAAGTAACTATCCAGCTGTTTGTTGAAGACCTTCCCAGCTTTCGAGAACATTTTTAAAAAGTGTCATGAAGACCATGGCATATGGTTTAGAAAGAAAGTTTTTTGAATGTTGAAGGGTTAGGTCATGCAACAATAAAGTAAATCTATTAATTGACAAGACAAGCAGCAGAGGCCTAGGCCTATGCAGATTTGCTGACAGGACCACTATTTCAAAAATCTGTCCCTTACGCAGATCATCAAGAACACATCATCGCCATTGTGAAACAATGGTGGCAACATCATTGTTGAGGGTTTATTTTTCTTTGGCAGGGACAGGGAAGCTGGTCGGAGGTCATTTAATAAAATGACATGCAGGACATTCCTGGAGGAAGATTTTTAAGATTAAGGTGGAGGTTTACCTTCCAGTATGACAGTGACACTAAATATATAGCCGAGCATCTTAGAATGATTTGGATTTAGGCATAGTTATGTATTAGAAAGGCCAAACAAATTCCAGACATGAATCCAATTAAACCTTTTGCAATTCATGAAAATTAGTAATTGATTATTTAAAGTTGGTAAAAATGTTAAGATTTTTCTAATTCTTCATTGCACCATGTATGTGCTATGTTAAAATTATGTGAATCTTATAGAATAAGAAACAGTAGACCTCTGACAAGCCAGCAATCCATCATGGGACTAAAGATTTTCTTTATTTAGACTTTTGGCCTTAAAAATATACTGCTTACTATATCTCATACATATAATAAGACTGGCTTTACCATATCAGATACAGGGTTGTCTTCTCAGGTCTCACTAGACATCTACCCATTCTTGGCTTAGTCCATGTCTTAATACAGAGTATTTAATACATTAACCTTAGTTGCCAGCTTCATTCAGGCTGAACACCTGGAGAACAGAAACAGAAAGTATAACAGAAAAATGAAGTGAAACTTAGCTGATTAGCTGTTCCACAATAAATGTGATATAGTAAATTGAAATAAGAATTGAACATCAGTTTCTTGTTTAATGGCATGGTAAACTTTCCATCTATCCAACCTTACTCCAATGAAGAAGTGAGATTTCCAAAAACCTCATCACATTGTAGAATTTGTGAAAGACACAATCAGAATTTTTGCACTGTGGTTGTTGTGTTAATCACTATTCTTGAGTTGTTGTAAGACGTGATACAACCCAAATTTATTTTCTGCAAAGAGGCATTTACTAAGAACACTAACTTTTTCTGGCAGTGGCAAAAAAAAATTTCAGCTAACCTGACTTACTTTAAGTAAAACCCATACAGATGTGAAGCTGTGCATGGGTCCAGATTTAATAAGGGAGATATTTTAGCTTTATTTTGCAGAGTGCAGAGTAGCCAGTAAGGGCTAGGACCTTTTTATCCTGAAGTGTGAGCTACAGAATGTCATTTCCAGCAGTGAAGGGTTTTCAGAACAGGCAGGAATGTTTGGTAAGCTGGCTTTTGACATGAAAGGCCAAAACTGAAGTAAAAGAAACAAAAATGATGGGTGAAATTTAAGTGGATGTACAAGGAGGGGAAGCAGAAGATTGGTGCAGTTTGTCTTTTTAAATGTATAAGGGATCAGAAACCAAACTAACCCAGTAGGGGAAAGATACGTTTTTAACTAAGTAACCACTAGAGCTTTAAAAAACAAAAAAAAAAACAAAAAAAAAACTCAACTTCTTCAGTAGCTTTCTTATGAATACTATATTTTCTTCCCTTTCTATTCTTCTATAAAGATTGAATGTAAGGGATGAAAGACACATTTGAGTGAAGGGATTCTCTCATTTGAGCTATGGATCTGTGCAGCTCCTCCACAGTCAGCACCCAGTAGTAATGCTCTCCTTGCCTTACTTAGCAGCTTGGTTTACATTTGTGTCATACTATTATCGTTTCAGGATGATGGACTGTGAGATGTTCAAAACCCTATCCTTTATGCTTTAATTTTTTCTACGTTCTTTGGTCATCATGTTTTAAGCCCCTTTACACTTAAAGCCTCACAAAGTAATTTACTTGTCAGGGTTATGTTATGAGTAATAAAGCTGGAGCTGATTTGCTGTATTAACCTGTAATAAAAGGCCAGTTACAAGATAACTGACCCAGTCAGGGTAAAGACCTATTATCATACCCAATAATTTAGTGTGAGTAAAGCCATTATGTTACTGGGTAGGCAACACATTTGAGAGTTTACATAAAATCTTCATAGTGCCACATTGCCTAGCGACAGTCATTCATGTTGTTTACCTCCACAACCACAGCATTACTTAGAAAGAGCTGGCAACATTTTAGCAAGCAAGCAGGAAAGTGTTTAATGATGGCTGGAAACTGGTCAACCTGGAAAAAAAGAACTAATTTCTGTCCACACACAGAGTGAAATAATACACCAGCTGATGAATCAGCCCCGTTTTCTCCTGATGTCTGCCAAGTGCTTCTCTGATTGTGAAATACTAATACTACTAATAGTTAAATTGTGAAATACTAAATACTACTAATAATTGTGTGAACCGATCCCAAAGCATTTGTTTTGTGATTTGTTTGACAGGTGTAATTTTTTGCAGAATTTCTTCTTTGGAGGTTGGCTCATCAGTTAAAGCTATATCCCTTGTATTACTGCCACCTGCAGGTGATATTAGGTACATCCATTCTGCCAATGTCAGGTTAACGATAAGAAGACCTCACCCATTAAGTTACTGAAACTAATTTATATGTGTTTAAAGTTGTAGGGAAGCGGCTGTTCCAACCATTGCATTTCTGAATTCTCCCGAGTGGTGCCCGACTTTACGCAAGTAAATAAAGTGAATCGTTTATCAAGGGGACGGAATTGTTGTTGCAGAAGGTTCGCAAAGTTTGGTTGTGGCCATTTGTCTGAAGCATCTTGCTAACTAGTTAGCAACTTAGTGCTAGTAGGTTCCCAATAGGAAATTTCATTGGGACCAAGTAGCATTTAGCAACGACACTGTTAAGGAATGCTATGGACAGCGGAAACATGCAAGAGAAGGAGAGTTTTTTGTCGGAGGTCGTTGTTGAGTCTCCTCCGTCATACATTTTTTGTTCACAAGGAGGAAAGCGGGTACAAAGTTGTGTGGCAGGGCGACAGAAGCTTGGTTTGGTGTAGAAGGCTTACAGCCGTACATGTTTGAGCCCTTGCCTCGAAAACACTACCAGTTCTGTTAGCTCTACGCCTGCAGAAGACACATACGTCCATCCCCCTGAACACTGGGACATAACTCAATGGTAAAGTAAATTGTTCTTATTTCTTATTTCAACCGTTACGTATATTAGCTGCGACATATGAATCGAGATGCTATGACCGAAAAAATTTGATTGACAAATTAGTGTTGATATCTGATTGGCCGAATTTAGGTGTACAAACTGACGTATAACTAACTTGCCTGCATAAGATAACGGAAAAAAAAGAAAAAGATTTTAAGACAGGATTCTTTTAAAAATTGAAATTTTCTAACTTTTCGGACAAAGTTGTCTGATAAAGAGTACATTTATAGACATCTTTAATCCAGAGTTATTTGACATTTAAATTGGACTTCCCTATGACCTTAAGGCACTAGTTGTTATTTCTGTTAGTTTGCTAACTAACATTCTCTAACAAATCTCTGAACAAAAACAACAGCTGGATTTCTATTAAGATTACACCCCACATGGATGTATTTTATTTACTGGTTCTCTATAGCCAGTTGGTTTGCCTGGATTTTATGTATGGCTATTAGAATAAAGGAAGCTTTCTGCAGATGTGCCACTTTAAAGACCTGTTATTTATCTGGAGGAAGGTTTGACAGACAAAATGCCAACTCACATACACTTGCACTCATGGAAGAGTGTGGAAACCTGTGCATGAGTCACAGAGAGATGTGAACTGTGAGGAGATGTCAAGCACATGCCTTCTGTCTGTTCCCCCAGCCAGGAATCATGTGAGCAGAGTGATTTACCACGCTGCCTCACTTCCCCTCTCTAACATACCCACCCACCCACACACACACACACACACACACACACACACACACACACACACACACACACACACACACACACACACACACACACACACACACACACACACACACACACACACACACACACACACACACACACACACACACACACACACACACTAAGCCTGGCAAGTTTAGCTTTTTCTTAGAAAATTTTAAGCTTCTCTGTGAAGGGTGGGACCAAAATAAATGTGAATGATATTTGTAGATAACGATATAAAATACCATAATTTGCAGAGATTTTATTTTATTACAAGAGAAATTGAACACGTTTGTTCAGAAAGTTGGTATTTAAGATGTTTATCTCTTTTAATTGAAGTATTAATTACCAGTATTTGATAATTTAATCAGTTTTTCTAGTCTAAAAAGTTATAGAACTATAATATGACTCAGCATTTTTTTAATAGAACTGTAAATTGCTTTTCCAGGCTTTCTAAATTTCAGTGCTGTTTTGTTATTACTCAAAAAACTTTACACTTATTTACATTTCTGTCCCTTACCATTTGCCAAACTTAAACAAAGACTGTATGTTGTAAATTGAAGTATTCCTCTGAGTCAGAGAAAGGCTAAACGCTGCTATTTGATTGTGTAAACAGACTTTGATTTTTGTTTCCTCTGCCCAGGGCACCAGATGATTTTCAAT